TATCGACCCCATCAATGGACACGGCGTATGTCTTCCGGATATATTCGTTAAGGGTAATCGAAATCATGAGGGCGGAGCTAGAAAAAGATTGGGGCTAAACTCCACGAGGCGAAAATAAGCAAATGACCTCATTTGCTTATTTTGTCTCCTCGCGATATGGCTGCGCCTATTATGACGGAGGAAGAGAGGACGCGCGCCTCTTTTCTGATCAACCCAATGATGGATACGACAACATCCAAAACTGTAGTCGTCCAGGTCCTCAAGACCTTCAACAGCGAGGAGTCCAGGACAATTTGTGCAACTGATTGCTTTAACAATCACATCACTTTAGAATGGCCGTTCCCTGATTTTAATATGGGAGGTGAGGCAATATATCCGGGCACACTTCTGAAGCTGGATAATACAGAGGTCCAGAAAAATTTGGCCGAAAAGGTAATTTTTGTTGATGACACTACTGTTGTAAAACATCTTGGAGGAACCACAAAGAGAAGCGAGTTTTATGAAATGTGCCAAAAAGCACGTCAAGAAGATAAGTAAGTTACGATTTGTATAATACAAGATTTTTAGGAATACGGAGACGGTTATCATTCTGAGAATTTGGAAGAACAACAGACCTGCTGACGGAGGTCCGGATATGGTAATAAATGGAGCTGACATGTTCAAAAGACCGATTGTAATATATGTAAATGCACATAATAACGTCTCAAAGTTCTCGCCTCTACGAGAAGGACATGTTTATGATCTTAAAAATGTGGAGAAATTTCCTCATAATGCCGACGATGTGCATCACAAAATAACTCCGAATTCTATGATCACGGTTCTGGGAATCAAAAATTTCTCTCGTCAATTGAACTGCCAATGTATAAATGGCGAATGGAAGATGACTGAAGTCGTCTTTCCCCATTACGTAAATAAACTCCCGGACTACGATGAGAAAAACAAGGAAAATGTCACACCGAAAAGAGCGAAAATGCCTCTGAAGCAGAGAAAACTTTAATTGTCATATATATATATATTTTTTTAAGGAATCGTGCTATAAATAAACATACTTTTGTAAATTTGGAATTATAGCTGAACCCAAGAATTTTTTGATGAGGGAAATCCAATCCATTTGACAAACCCTTCTTTAATGCCCTTACGCAATCGTGTTTTGAGAATCTTTTCGATTCGATATTCAGTATCTTCAGAAGTCAGCGAAAGTTCTTCGGTGTAAAATCGGCCCTCAATCGGTTCGCCTTCCGAGTCAACAAGTTCAAAAGTAATGGGGTTAGTTCTATTAATTTTTGTAATCTTGAAAATTTCATCTGTAAAGGTAGTCCAGTAGCCCTTATCAAAGTCCCCGGCCTGCCGTGAAATCCTGACCCAATCCCCCACCTTGAACTTGGGCTCTTTGGCTTTTGGGGAATCAGATTGATAAATTTTTTTCCAAATTTCGAACCAGTTTGAGCTATTAATATCCTTAGGTTTCAAGCCTGTGCTCCTACACACAGTATTGTTGATGGCGTTAATAAACTTGTCCAGCACACCAATCCAATTCAAAGTGTTTTGTGCGGAAAAGTATTTGTATAAACGAGATTTTAAAGTTCTAATTCCTCTCTCTGCAACTGCTGCTTTGATCTCCGCGTTTTCTCCATGGCGAAGCTCCAAGTTTTTTGAATCCAAAAAGTTTTTGACATCTTTGGCAACAAACTCTTTGCCCTTATCCGTAAAAATCACCTGGGGGATTTGCGGCATTTTTCTGAACATACATTCGAATGCTTTGAGCATATCCGAAGACTTTTTGGAGAGAACAGGACAAGCAAAGAACCTGCGCGACATTACGTCAACCCCCAATAAACAATATTTGTAGCCCTTGTTGTATTTTGAAAGAGCCTGAAAGTCCGCCAAATCCATTTGCACATCCGTCATGAACCCTGAGGGGATAGTCTTCAAACGATTGAATCTTCGACGTCTCGGTTTATGGAGACTATACGAAAAATCACGTGCCAAGATCCGCCGAACATCTTCGTATTTTAGCTTCTTTGTTTTTGCCAAACGAGAAGGCCCTGTGTATGCAGAGGGATCGTCTAGATCACGAAAGCTTTTTAAAATGCTCATGATCTGTGCACAGTATATAAATGTTTCTTTTTTATAGTAGAAAAAATATTATCATGGAGTTGTTTAACTGTACCTCAACATCAGAAAGTTCAATCGGTAACTATTTTTCATATTCTGCTTCGTACGAGACAAAGAAACCCCGGAATGCAACTGTTCGAAATATTGAAAGGCTTGTAAAAGAACTTGTAGACAGATACTCAAAAGGTTGGAGACTAACTTGAATTATCATATTGTTATAGGTTTCAATTACATTACTATGCACATTTCTGGGGAGATGGATCTCGATGAGTTTAAGGTGGAGGCATTGCCATTAAAAGATTTCAAGCCTTCAGATGTTATTAGAGCCTTTTGTCATGCTTACAGCTGTACGAGAACTTTCACGAATACTCCCTTTAACTTGCAATTATTATTTATTAAACAATAAATTTAAAAAACCGCCAGAGGTTTGAAACATAAAGTTAAACAAGTAATGCCATAATCAAAAGGGCATAAACGTCCATCTAGAGTTCTAATTTGAACATGTAATACAGAGATCTCCCTTGCTCTAACAGGTATCATTAACGGTTGATCGTAAATCTGTTCCACAACATCCCCCGGTTTGCCTTTTACTGTAACCATACGAAGCATAGGTGTTTGAAAACTGCCGACAATAACCTGTTCAACTAAATCGTCAACGTATACGGCTAGGTTCTTGATGCCACCACTGAGATCAGGAGAGAATGGAGCGACAGTTTCGTTTACAATTTCCCCATAATCCGAAAACCCTAGAGTGTACTTTAATTGGGGTGAGAACTCAATCTTCCCCACTACTTCATGATTAACATGTGTTTTCACACGCTGAATTTTCTTGTCGTATAATATTGCGAAATCGGAAGATCTTAAAGGTCTCAGGTTATACATTGCTTTGATTGGCTCTTTCACCGTTTTATGAGGGCGGTTCAATTCATAGACGGGGACCTTCAAAGGTTCAGTCTCAATACGTCTCGTGCCAACCAGGGCAAGGGGGCGTGACATTCTGGGATACTCAACATCCATAAAACCAATCGCAGGATTGTGCGTAGGCAGATGGTCGGTCGAAACCGGGGAGAAGGAGGTCGCGCCGCTTTTGTTCTTGGCAGATTGGGAGTTGTTGTTATTCGGGGCCTTTTTTTCATTTTCGAGAGATAAATTGCCTTTTTGTATATTATTGGAAAGGTGTGATGACGAGGCCTTTGAGGATGCAGAGGGAGCGGTATGTTGTGCCCCTGTTAGTGTTGTTGTAGATGGAGTAGCTATGCTAGTAGTAATTGGATTGCTAAGAGTAGACGGTTGTAAAACAGGCGGATTAGAAGGAGGCAAAGGGCTAGGTTGAGCAGCACCATGAGGAAATGTAGTACTTTTAGCAGTATCTCTAGTAGTATTTCGAATACCCCCCGGATTATTTCTAGTACCAACATCAGCAATATTAGTATTAGAAACGTTTGGAAGAGAAACATTTTGTACCGCGGCTTTTGTCAAAGGGATTGGATTTCCCTCATCAGTCTTCACAGACTTCTTTAATGCGACATCCATCTTTTTACCCTTTTTTAAAACCTTTGGCTCTTCCGGAGCATTTCTTTTACGACGCCCCTCTCCCTTCTCAAGCTCTTCTTGAACCACCGAATTCAAATATGTCACCAAACTCTCAATTGTATTAAAACTCCCTTTAGGGATGTGTATTCTCAAGATTGCGTAAGCAGTTGTAAGATCGATATATTGCCCATCCAAGGTCCCGATAGAAGCCCATGAATGAGGATAGACAATGCTCTGTAAACCACATAAATAGGGGGCGTCAAATGTCAAGGGTTTAGGCAACACGATTTTGAAATCAGCAGGGGTATTTTTCCCAAAGGTGTTACTAGGATCGTTGCTGGGAAGCACAATAAAAAATGACGAACGCATATCTAACATACAAATCACTAACCGTTTTGTTTTTATAGTGACATGGAGCGTTTGACGTGCCCCTTTCATACAGAGGCGGAGTTGATAGAAGATTTTAGATGTGGAGATCTGATTTGCCCAGAGTGTGGCGTCGTTGTCGGCGAACGGATCTTTGACGTCTTAAATGATGTGCCTTTTTATACCACAACACCTACATCAAAAATGTCTGAAGAGAATACAAAAATATTACAAGAGATGACCAGTAAAGGACATCTGCCCTCAAGCATTGAAAAGGATGTTTCAATCCTATTTGACAGAATCAAAGACTATGTAAAAAACACTAGTGACAAACATGTTTTAGCCACTTGCTTGTACATAACATGTCGTAAAAATGGGGTTCCACGGAGTTTCAAAGGTTATCAATGACCCAAGCGTTTCATTTTTCCCTTTTTAGAAATCTCAGAATTGTCGGCGGTTAACATAAAGAAGATCTATAAATGTTTCAAACAGATCCCCGGAAATATTGCCAATGCAAACAAACCGATTGGAGTCGAGGAATATGCAAGCAGATTTTGCGCTTATCTAGGGCTCTCCTATAAAAGACATGCTCAACTAGTAAAAATGGTTCATACAGTTCAAAATAAAAGTGTGCTGACGGGGTAACATATATCAATCTAAAAAATAAAAAATGTTCAGAAATCCTCTTCTTTCAACTATCGCTGCAACTTTATACTACATGTGCAGAGAAGAATACACACTAATGGACATTTACAGGGCAACAGATGTGAGCAAGAATACACTTCGTAAACTACAGAAACAGATTGAAAAAGTCTTCGAGGAAGAAAAATCCGACTGACCCCCTTTTATCGTTAAATGTTCCCCTTATCCTTACACCTATTTACAATGTTTTGATTCCCTCTTATTATCATATATTTTTCGTGAACTGTTGGCGTGTTATTATCGTACCTTTCTTAATTCAATTAATAAAGAAAAAAATTTTTTAGATGACTAACGAAATAGAACAACCACCTTCCAAGAGAAGGCGTCTTACACCCCTGAGGGACTTATCGAATATAAGAGACCCGGCCGTCGATTATCATAGATCGGCTCCCAATTTTCGCCAATGCTCGGAAACCATTATGGAAGAGCAGACAAACTCCAATCATCCACCTTCCAAGAGAAGGCGTCTTACACCCCTGAGGGACTTATCGAATATAAGAGACCCGGCCGTCGATTATCATAGATCGGCTCCCAATTTTCGCCAATGCTCGGAAACCATTATGGAAGAGCAGACAAACTCCAATCATCCACCTTCCAAGAGAAGGCGTCTTACACCCCTGAGGGACTTATCGAATATAAGAGACCCGGCCGTCGATTATCATAGATCGGCTCCCAATTTTCGCCAATGCTCGGAAACCATTATGGAAGAGCAGACAAACTCCAATCATCCACCTTCCAAGAGAAGGCGTCTTACACCCCTGAGGGACTTATCGAATATAAGAGACCCGGCCGTCGATTATCATAGATCGGCTCCCAATTTTCGCCAATGCTCGGAAACCATTATGGAAGAGCAGACAAACTCCAATCATGAAGAATCAATAAAAATGACAACCCAAGAACAAAATAATACATTGTCCCTTGAAGACATTCTCAGGCCCGACTTTAAGGTCTTAGGGCCCGCAGAACTCATGCAGTACATGCAGCTACTCGAAAGGTATCTCTTGTTTTTTTCTCTGATTCATTTTTTAGTGATGATCTCTCAAACATCCCATCGAGTTCTTCACATAATCCCCGCGAAATGATGATGCAAAAACTTTTGGAAGATCTCGACTTTTACAAGGAATTCTCAGAAACCAATATTTCTCTAGATGATCTTGACGAGGAAAATTTTTCTGATCCGTGCTTTGACATGGCAAGGTTTTTAGGAGGCACAGATACCCTCCCTGAATTTGACGATTTTTTCAGACCTCTCCCTCAAAAAGGTCGGGGGTAAGTGCAATAATCGTATAAAAAAGTCAAAAAATTTTATTATAGAATACAATTCTTCCGTGTCGGAGCCTCTCGAGTTAAAACGTCAGAGAGATTTAAATGCTACTCAAGAGAACAAAAGTACCATATACACATTAGTGAAAACATGAGTGATTTTGAAAAACGTTTCAATCAGCTTGTAGAACAATCAGTCAACGAGTGCCTCAGAGAAGGTAAACACTTTAAAAAAAAATCAAATTTAATTTCTAGTTGAAAGAGGAGGATCAGAAAGGGCCATGTATGTAGGTGTGAGAGTATCGTCCGATAACTTAACGAGACCTCTAAATCATTTCTCCAAAAGAAATGTTTTCGATCCTAAACATCTTTACACAAAATTATTCAAAATTGCACAGTCATCCAAAACTCCAAGCTTGTTGGGGAAACCCTTTGTACTCAACATAACAGTTCTATATGGCAGAATCGGTGGCGCTCCCCCGACACGACAGACAACTAGATCCTTTTTGGAGACAAGTACAGGCATTTTCCATGTTAACACTCAGAAGAATGATTGTCTTCCTGTATCCATAAACATCTCTAGGCTTGCAACTACCAAGGATCTTCCGGGCCATAAAAAATCTGAACGAAAATTGTACAAGGCTCGAAAATTTACAAAACCAACAGAATGTGCTGAACTAAAAGAAGCATACAAACATTTTAAGGCTGCAAGTTTAACAGGAAAGGAAAGCATCGAGTTCACGGTTGGCCTCTGGGAAGCTTTCATGGACCAAAAATACCCAGAAGCCGCTCCACATAAAATTATAGTTTTTGATCGGAGATCTTTTGAGCACGGATGGAGTTACCCGAAACTGGAGAAGGATGAGATTTTGGATGTAAAAACTCCAATTATGCTTTATTACCACGACAATCACTACGACTCCATATGGAGTCCCACTGCTTTCTTCGGAGTCAGATCTTTCTCCAATTTATGTTTCAGTTGTCGGAAATTGATGAGAGAATCAATCGATCATACAGCTAGATGCCAGAAAAAATGCACCAAGTGTTGTCGTATAGGAAACGACTTTCCTTGTAAGGATGATGGCTTTGAAAAGAAGTGCGCCGCATGTACAAAAAAGTTTTTAAACAAGGATTGCTATGAACACCATCTGAAGAAAAACATTTGCTCTTATTACAAAAAATGTGACAAATGTGATCAGGCATATTCAAAAAAGAATGGGCATTTATGTGGATTAAGTTTTTGCGTGTCATGCCGAGGCTTTCACGAAGTCGGGAGTGAGTGTTACGTCAACCCCATACCTGTGCCTAAAAAACCTGTCAACTACAACTTGTGTGCCTTTGACTTTGAAACTACCACCACTCCTTTGAACGATAACTCGAACAGAAGTCAACACTCTGTAAATTTCGCATCAATTCACAAGGCCTGTACAACTTGTATGGCAAACGGTAAATGGAGAGACGAAGAGACTCCATGTGAAAAATGTGGAGAGCATCTAAAGACGTTTAGTATTCCTCATGGTGACTCCGAAAATGTTGTCAAAGACGTATGGGAGTATCTAAAAAGTTGCGCAAAAAAGATACCAGTCCTCGCAATAGCACATTTCGGAGGCAAATTCGATTGTCATTTGCTCATGAAAGAAATAAACAAAGACAAGAGTAGGTCATTGCAACAAATTCAAATATTTTTTTCAGCCATCTCCAAGATCGATATGATCTTGACAGGGGCCAAATATTACACAATTAATGTCGCTGGAACTGCTGGAGCTTTCACAGAGGTCAAATTTACAGACTCTTTTAATTACCTCCAAATGCCTCTCGGATCGATGCCAAAGGCTTTGGGTCTTGAAGTTGATTCCAAGGGGACATTCCCCCATCTCTTTAACACTCCTGCTCACTATCAAGCTGACCTCCCTCATCATCCGGATATTCAATATTATTGTCCAGACAGTTTGAATGCGAACAAAAGACAAGAGTTGCTTGACTTTTACGAAGAAAATCGGGATAAACCTTTCAACTTCAAACAACAGTTGTACGATTATGGAATTCAAGACACCAGAATCCTGCTGCATGCCTTAGTAAAGTTTAGAAGTATGATTCAAGAGCATTGTCCTACGGACGATGTATTATACTACTGTCCAACCCTTGCTTCTTCATGTCTGAGAATCTGGCGAATGTTAGACCTGGAGGAAAGGACCGTCATCAGAACTCCTACTATTGGGTTTGGAGATTTTATACAACAATCAAAAGTGGCATTACTTTTCTTCAGATGGCTGAGAGACAAAAAGGACATGAAAGATCTCCAATTTAGGGATAATGGGGAAAAAAGGTTAGAACAAAAACAAAAATAATAAAAAATTTTTATAGAGTTGAGATTGTCATCGACGGAAAGGTCCACAAAATCTCGATAGATGGGTTCTTGGAAAGGCAGAATGAGAAACCTTTGGCATTGGAGCTAAATGGTTGCTATTATCACGGGTGCAAAGATTGTTGTAAAGATCTCGGAGACCGTTTGCCCTCTGGAATATCTGTAAAAGAAGGGTTACTAAAAACAGAAAAAAGAGTAAAAGCTCTCGAAGATTTGGGATTTGAAGTCCTTGTTTATAAGGAATGTGAGATTAGGAAAATGTTACAAGAGGACGACGAAATGTCTGCTTATTTTGAGCAGAGATTCTTTTCGGCGGGTTCTATCAGACTCCGAGATGCCTTCCATGGTGGACGAACTGCTACGCAATGTCTCAAATTTAACGCTAATGAAAGGAAAGGAATAGGATACACCGACATTCAGAGTCTTTACCCTTATATCATGGCGACCTATGCAATGCCCATAGGGATACCTACACCCTTATACATTCAAAATTATGATGTGAATTGGGAATCTGAAGCAGACATTGAGCATGATGGGTTGTATAAAGTTGTTGTTCTTCCTCCTCAGAATCTCGCGCTTCCTGTCCTCCCGATTACCTGTAACAAAAAGTTAATCTACCCTCTATGTTATTCATGTGCTCAGGAGAATCAAGGAGCCAGCTACAACAAAAACTTGGTATGCGAACATGGAGAGGAAGAGAGGTCCTTTTTGACAACTACAACATCAGTTGAACTTAAAAATGCCCTCAGGAAGGGATACAAAGTCAAGAAAATATTCGAAATTTTGAAATTTAATGAAATGTCGGACGCCCTATTCAAACCCTATGTATATAGGTTTTTAAAAACCAAGCTTGAGGCTTCGGGAAAACCTTATGATGACGAGGCAAAAAATCAACAATTCAAGGAGGAAATTAAGCGAAGATATGGATTTGAAATTGACGAGGGCAAATGGTCTAAAAATCCTGCTCTCCGAACAATCTCCAAGTTGTATCTCAATAGTTTATGGGGAAAATTGAGTATGAGAACGGATCTTCCCAAGGTAACGAATGAGCACATTTTTTGTAATCTGATTTTTAGACTGTGGTATGTTCCACTGCCACCGAGTTCTACAAGATACTCAACAACTCCACCAATGTGATCAAAAGTGTTGATTTGGTGGAGGATGATAAAATATACATTAGCTTCAAGACCTCTGAAGAATTCACAACCCCGCTGGAGTTTTCAAATCTGTTGATCCCTACATGGATCACGGCCCAAGCCCGGACCTATCTCTACTCGTTCTTTGAACAGGTGGAGAGTAAAGGCGAAAAAATTCTGTATTATGATACAGGTAGGTGTGCATGCAAAACAACAACAATCTTTCAGATAGTCTGATCTTCACCTTTGATAAGGCTTCGGGTGAGTATCCTCTGAAGACTGGAGACTACCTTGGAGATATGGAGTTGGAGAAGAAAGGGAAGGATATCCTCGAGTTTCTTGGACTTGGTGCCAAGCAATATGCCTTAAAATATAGGGACGTTGTGACTGGGGAGTTGGAATATGATCTGAAACTCCGCGGAATAAGTTTAAACGGAAAAACATGTTCGATCATTAACTATGACTCCTTTTCTGGTCTGGTTGACCGAGTTATTTTGGATGGATATCAAGAATCTTTAACAGCTGTCTACGACGAGATTCGCGCCATTAAGAACGTTGGAGTTTTCACTACAAATGATAAACAAAAAGTTTATCAAGGTGTTTGTGATAAGGGATATATTGCTAATGACGACGTCACTATTCTTCCATTCGGTTATGTACAATGATTATTTATTTATTACTTTTTTTATATAATATTATAAATCATACATTTCTTCTTGTAAATAAATTATTGTTATCAAATGACGTGAAGATCCATTATTGTAAAATACATACATGGCCCAAGATTCGTTTGGGACTATTTGGACTGAGAGGAATGGCCCCGAGGGCGTCGGATACACGGTAGTACTTGAAATAAACAAAAAGTTTTAAAAGATACTTACGTTTTCTGACCCAGATCAGTGGGGATACCAATAAAAGACGAACCACCCTCCTCAGAAGAAGACATGACGTTTTTTTTTTAGACATTAAATGTCTTTTCTAACCAGAACTATCACTTTTATACTCCCCATTTTCCCTCGAGGCGTCTAATCACATTCCTCAGTTGTTTCTCACTAATATGGGAGAGTGTACCATAAATTGATGTATCCGAAAAACCTCTATTTTTGAGGATCAAATATGCAATACAGTAATGCCCGCAGGCTGATGAAAACAAGGATTGGACAGGCTTTTGCCAGTAATTTGTATTTGGAAATTTACTTGTAATTTCGTGTGGTGGCGGATCTCCAAAACTGTCGAAATAGAACACTCTTTTTTGAGAATCACCGTACAAAGCGACCCAATGTGAACCTGGCTCATAGCTCTTATCGAGATTGTATATGACACTAAACGGGTACTTGGGGGAAGACTGACTTGGTCTATCGAAAGCACGTCTAAGAAGCTCGAAGCTAGCGAGGGCGTCAGCTTGATTATTCTTCGGATTTCGTTTTCGTCCATTTATAAGTCCGTGCACAATAAAATATACAAACAAAACAATAGTGTAAATTATGCTTACAGCACAAAAAATGAGTTCGTTGTAACGATTGCAAGAGTCGGGAAGTTCAGGAACTGAAACATCCATTTAATGCCTTTTCAAAACTTTCGGTGTGCTTTTATACTTCCACGAAAGAACCTTGAATCTGTAGTGTCTTCTTTTCAATAAAACTCCTCGGGCTACTTGCTTTCTCTCCCTCTTTGTCCGTCCGCTCATAAGTTGATGAATCATATCCTTTGTACCTTCATTCTTGTACATTTTATTTAGAAAATCGATGGGAACGGTGTCAGCACCAACAACAGGATTCTTGGCCCACTGTTTGAGAAGAGCTTCAGCATTAAAAGTCGTTGCTTTTCCTTTTTTATCTTTTAAGAATCCCTTTTCTGATATCCCAAACGTATCTGGGGCCCGTCGGAGTTTCCCTTTTAAAGAATTTGCAATTTCTAAGGCTTTGGAAGGAGTGATTGGAGGAAGGGCTTTCCAACCCGTAAAGGGTTGGCGTTCACTTTTTGGAGTCGTATTTTTTGGGGTTCTACGGCTGACAGGTGTAAAAAATTCATGGCCTTCTTCGTTTTCGGGGTCAGGGGATTGTTCTGATTCGAGGTCGGGGATTTGTTCTGAATTGGGCTCATGTTCTTCTTCCCGGTTCTCAGAATGTTTTGGGACAAATCGACGTTTTATTTTAACCCTCGGAGTTTTCCCAGCAGTTCTCTGAACTTCCTTATAAATTTTGGCAAACAGTTCCTCGTATGCTCCATCATCATCTACTTTTGAGATTGATTTTCCCGTTTTGGCCCCTGTCGATCCATCTTCAAAAGTAACCTTAACAGGTTTATTATCCATCTCTCTTTTTCTGCGAAGATAATCAGGCATTTGTTGGTTATATTTCAAATACTTTGTGCCCACATTGCCTTTTTGATGCAAGGTCTTGTTGACATTTGATTGAGAAAAATCTTCAGAGGTTGTTGTGTTTAGAATATTGTTGTAAAAATCCTCTGGCACTAGGAAAAATTTTTTCATTTTAGGAATAATCTCGACGCTTCAAGTAGTGCAGGAATAATTAAGGCAGCAAATGGAAGACCGGCTCCTTTCTGAAGATGTTTAAGCCCCGAGGCGGTAGACCTTTTTCGACTCAATTCGCGAATAAAGGTAGCGTATGGCAACAACTTTTTCCTTTGGTGGGGAGTTAAATGGATGTTCCCTTGAACAAGATTATAACAGATCTCCACAATTGCTTGGACTTGTTCTGGAGAGCAAGAACTTAAAAACAATTTTCGACTTTCAGGACTCTTGAACGACGCCAATTTTTTTAGAAACAAGACATGCTTTTGAATAAGCTTCATAAACTAGATTTTTGGTTGTTCTCTTTGCTATTTATACTTTGTACACCACCATGGAGTCTGTCGAAAAAATGTTTGTACGTAGTCTCAAATCAACAGGTGTCTTTGGATGTAGATCGATTAAAAGATAGCCGAATTGTTCCTTTGTTGCATCACGATATGCTTCCATAAATCCCTTTTTACCGGGGAAAATTTGTGAGCCTAGTGTTCGTACTTGAAGTTCAGCGTTCGGAGCTCTCATTAAAATGATATATTGGGAATTTATGCGTGGAACACGGAGTTTTGGTTCGAAAATTGATTGACTCAATGTAATCACACCCAAGTTTTGATGATGCGCCTTCTTTGTGTAAAGCTCTGTGAGGTACTGAGGGTCTATCGATGTAATCAGGTCGTCCAACACAAGGAGCAAAGGTTTTTTTGAATTTTTTATTAGCTCATCATCCGGGAGTCCTGAAACAACTTTAATTCCCTGTTTTGCTAGATGTGTAACATGTTCTCCAAACTCTCCATAACAATAAACCACATCCTTTGGCGGGGGATCAAAAATTTTACGCGCATTTTCTATAATTTGGAGCATTAAGGACGTCTTTCCGCTGCCTGAAGAACCTCCTAATAAAAGACCAGATGGTAGGTGAAGTTTCAACTCCGTAGCAGAGAAAGCCATTGTTTAGCCCGAAATACAAAAATTTTTCTGTCTTAAATACTTTTTCTGCTCCGTCTAACGCTCGTTTCTTCAAAATGTCTCTGAGAATTCAAGATTTCTTGAGGACCAATTGTACGTGTCCCAACAACTTTGACTGTTATCGTCCTTTTGGGTAATTTTTTGCATTAATGATTTTTTAAAATGTCCTTTTTAAGGTATCTGGAACCCCTTATATGCTTGGATTCTAATTATAATGTTGGAAAGACGCTCGATGAAAATTGTTTCTTGAACTTCTCCATCAAATTCTGGCCCTTGGCTAGCTTAATCCTTGGAATAGTTGCTTTCTTCTTCACTGTAAGATCAAATTCAATATATCATTTTATACCGATTTTAGCTTCTAATCCTCATTTGCTCAGGATTAATTGGGGTCCGTGTGAACAAATGTTGTCAATGTCGTAGCAAGGTCATTGAGGAGATCGATATCAACGAATAAAACATTGTGGGTTTTTAAAAAAATATTGTTGTGTCCAAAACAAAATGTTAATCATCAATAAAAAATTTTTGTAATCACTAGACTTTTGATTCTGGTTTTGTCATAGATCTTACAGTTGAGGTGCAAGCAGATAAAAGTATAAATACGTATGTTTTGACTTATTTGGACACTAGATATGGTTCTTGTACCCTTTGACTCTTCGAAAATAGTCGACTTTTCGCCTCAGGGCAAGACTCAATACGGTAGAAGTTTTCAATATGGTTCTGGATTTTCTTCATCTCCCTTTTATGCGGGAAAAATGTTTCATCGCGGGATGGGAAGAATACACAGAGGGCATGGCTTAGGATCAGTTCTTGGTAATGTGTGGCGTTATTTTGCTCCTGTCTTGAAAGCTGCGGGGCAGAGTTTGGGAAAAGAAGCCTTGGAAACGGGGAGTCGTATTCTCGGAGATATGGCTCAACCACAGAGTGAAGATTTGAAGACCATAATGGTTCGCAACACCTCACAAGGAGCTCGGAATTTGTTGCGCAAGGCTTCAAATAAATATTTGCATAAAGGGGAGGGAAGGAAACGAAAGGCATCAGGGCGCAAAGGAATGATAAAGAAGAAAAGGACCGATGTGTTTGGCATGTACTAAACAGTATATAAAGGAACATTAGGCCTTACTGCTTCATTATTAACATGTCGTTTAAGAAGATTGATGCTCGAAGTGAAGAGAGTGTTTCGTCATCTCTCGATGTTTTCAATGTCCCCGAAACAAATATATCAGCGTCTCATTCCCAATTTAGTGAATATTTAACCCTAAACCCAATTTCTGAAACTCCTTACCAATTTAAAGTAATGCCTGGAAGCTCTTTTGTTGATTTGACAAAAACTTTTCTTATGACATCGATGAAAATGCAAAAATCATCAGATAATGGTCAAACTTGGATAAATATTGAAGCCAATGATAAGGTCGCTCCTATCCAAGGCATTGGGGCAACCTTTATTCAAAATATGAGACTACTAATAAACGGCCAGGAGGTTTACCATTCAAATTCTTTACAAAGCTGGAGAACCTACTTTGACCTTTTGCTTAATTTCCCCTCAACTGCCAGTCAAACTTATCTCTCCTCTCTGGGATGGTATGATAGTGTAAAATTTAACGATGAAACGGACTCGGGGTTCCAAAAGCGCCGCGCAATGTTTGTGGGAGGACAGGAAGCGCACTTTGTAACAAGGCTTTTCTGCGAGCTCGCAAATGTTCCAAAATTAATGCTTAATCACACGGATCTTGTGTTGGAGATTACGCCTGCAAAGAATTTGTTTTGTATTGAGAGTAATGTGACAAATCAAGCAACGCAGTTCCGTCTTACCATAACCTCCTGTAAATTATATGTGAAAACTGTGGATTTAAACGATGGTGTGGGAATGGGATTTGCCAATACTTTAATTAAAAATCCCGCAATCTATCCAATCAGGAAAACGGATTTGAAATCCTTTTTCATTTCTCAAGGCAGACAAGAATATGTTACAACCTTAAGTACAGACCAGGTCCCTCGGAGGGTTGTTTTTGGTTTAACAAATCACCCTGATGTCCAAGACTCTTCGAAAAAGTCTCCCTTTAATTTTGTACACAGTGACCTAAGATCCGTTACTCTCTCTGCTAATGGTCAACAATTCCCTTGCATCCCTTATGAAATGGATTTTACAAAAGATAATTTTATTAGGGCCTATCATGATTTTAATGAGGCTTTGGGTTTCGCATTTACCGATTATTCATGCACTATCGATAGGGAAATGTACAAAAAGGGTTTTACGATCTTTGTCTTGAATATGACAACAACCTTAGAAGATGACAACTGCATGGACTTGATCAGAAACGGACCTGTTTCGTTAAGACTTGCTTTTAACACTCCCGTCGGGGAATCAGGTCTTAGCCTGATTGCTATGATCGAATATGACGCCACAATGCTTGTCGATAATAACCGAAACGTTCAAATGTCCTACAGCGTATAAAAAATAGAAAATGTTAGTTTGAAAATCCCTCGGAATTGGCAACAAAACTTTTTTATGGCATTGTGTCTTTTTACCGCAAAAAAAAAAAATACAAAGAAAAAAATGTCGAGAAATAAAAAATGTTTTTTTTTTTTTTGTTGTCGCGATTCATTCGGTTATCTTATAATTGTATTATTTTTCAGTGAAACATACTCTGGTCGACACCGGATACTGAGCGCTTCATGAGTACCCGTATGGTATGCTGTTTTCGACATTTTTATTCTGTTTTCAGATCAAGTTCAAGGGGGATTTAAATGGCTCCTGTGGTATTTCGGGTCCTTGTGAAGAAGATGAAGACTGTATGTCTTTTGCCCAAAGACCGAATTTGGCGATAACATGTTTGCCGAAAAATTTTGAAGGATTGGATACGCTGGTTTCGAAGAATAACAATTTGGTGATCGTAATCTGGGTGCTGCTAGCTGTTATCGTGATCCTCATCCTTTTCAATTTTTACATTTTTTATCGAAGAAGGGGAAGTCATAAGAGACTCTCCGAGGATATCTGAAAATGCATATCTATCTCTCTTTTTTCATTTGTTATGGATAAAAATTTTATATGAATTGATCTCGGTTATTTCTTCGTTGAATCTGTTGGAACTTTACGCAACATTTAATCTTGACGGTTTTTTTTTTTGAATAAACGAATAAATGGGAGGGTTTTAGCATTCCGTGGAAAGATTGCGATGCACGTCAAGATTTTGCGCTCAAAGGGTTATCTTTCAACACATAAGTTGGCGTTCTGTTACCTCTTATGAAAGAGCCTGAAAATCACTCTTAATGAAGGTTTCTTTGGACGGGGTCAGACGAAAGGCGAAATATTGCGTAAAATGAAGAGATTTTCCATCTTGAAAACTGACTCATTGGATTTTTTTCGTTTAGGTTCAGAAAATCCATCTTGTTCCAGAATATGTTTTCAACAAACTTCAAACAGGGGCGAGGGAAAACTCTTGGAGAAATCGGCAAAGTCGTTAAAAAAAAAATTTTTTTTTTTTTTTTTAGACGTTGTTAGTTTAGGCTTGAAGCAGATAGAAGACGATTGAATTGTTATATGAAACATATATGGTGAGGTTAAGTAGGAGTCCAGCTTCAAATTTCTAGTACCCTGATGTACATTGATGCCAAATGACACATTTCTATCAACAATCACAAAAAGTTACACCCAATTTTTAAAGTGGTGATATAATTATGACCCACATGTATGCAATAAATCTATTCTACTCCATCTTCCAGGTGATCAGGTTATCTTTGGAGCAAAAAATTATCTTTGAGCTACAGAATCCAAAAAATTTTTTTTTTTTTTTTTCATTGCTTGAACACTTTTGTTCTATCTTTTCTTGATGTGCGTCGTTATGTTTATTCTTTATCAAAAAAAAAAAAAAAAATGATTTGTGGCCCTAAAGAGGGCCGTTTGGGGTCATTTGAAAAGGCTCGGGCGGGGGGCTCTGGAACTGGCTCTGGCGGGGGGCTCTGGAACTGGCTCTGGAACTGGCTCTGGCGGGGCCCTAAAGAGGGCCGATTGGGTGGCCCTAAAGAGGGCCGTTTGGGGTCACATTCATGGATGCCCTTTAAGGGCATCCATGAATCCTTTCATTGGACCGGGGGTCCACCCCGTCTACTGTTTCGAGTGTCTGCTCGAAACAGCGACGGAGTTCTTCCGCCGCCTCCTTGGAAGCCTGTGAGGCTTCGCCATATATAATGGCATAATAAGCTTTATAAAAGTTTCGGCTTATTTGAAGCCGAAACTCCTCCAAGGTTGAACACCCTGGGAAATCCGCCACGAGGCGCGCACTGAGGTGCGCTAACTAAAAAAAACAGAAAATTAAAAAAATAAAAGAAAAAATAAAAAAAAAATGAAGCTTACTTCGGTTTCGTCCTCGGAGAGGGACATTGAATTAAACTCTTCACACAGTTTTTCCATTTCACTAAAAAAATTTTTTTTAATTTTTCGGCAAAATGATTCTAGTCGCGACATAAAGTGCATGTCGCTAGTGCAAAAAACAGGGAATTGCCGCGACTAGCGACATGCACTTTAATGAAAATGTCTTAATATCTTGTCTGAATATATAGGTCTTTTTGGAGGCGTGACCTATTGACCCCAAACGGCCCCGAAAATCCTGGAGATCTGTGACCTCTAAAGTTTATTGAAGGGTCATCAACTCTTATTCATGGGCCATACATACTCTTGATCTTTCCGCTTTTCCGGAAAAAAATCACAAACACATAAACTCTTTAACCTACCGCAACCTGTTGGTTTTTGAATAAACGAATAAAAGTTATTGGATTCTTAATCCTTTTGAAAAGGGTAAAAAATTATTTCATCATCATTGAGTCGAAAAGTTTATTGAAGAGTCATCAAATTTTATTGATGGACTTGATAGTCTTGATCCTTCCGCTTTTTCCGGAAAAAAATCACAGACATAAATCATAAACTCTTTAACCTACCGCAACCTCTAGGTTGCGCAACATTCATAACATCTCGGTTGCGGAACACCCCGCAACCTCTTGCCCTCCCGCAACCTCTAGGTTGCGCAACAACCCGCAATCCTCCTCCTTTCCCCACTTTCTCACCCTTTTTCAATTTTTTACCGCAAAATTCCCTCACCTCTCTCCCCACTCTCCTCCAATCCCACACTCTCTCACCTTTTTCATTTTTTACCATAATTTCATCGTGTCCTTTCAATTACGACACCCGCGCATCTTTTTTGAAATTTGACCGCAAAATTCCCCTGACCTCTCTCCCCACTCTCCTCCAATCCCTCACTCTCTCACCTTTACAGTACTACCATACCATAAAAATTCCCTCACCTCTCTCCCCACTCTCCTCCAATCCCACACTCTCTCACCTTTTTCATTTTTTACCACAATTTCATCGCGTCCTTTCAATTACGACACCCTCTCATCTTTTTTGAAATTTGACCGCAAAATTCCCCTGACCTCTCTCCCCACTCTCCTCCAATCCCACACTCTCTCATCTTTTTCATTTTTTACCGCAATTTCATCGCGTCCTTTCAATTACGACACCCGCGCATCTTTTTTGAAATTTGACCGCAAAATTCCCCTGACCTCTCTCCCCACTCTCCTCCAATCCCTCACTCTCTCACCTTTACAGTACTACCATACCATAAAAATTCCCTCACCTCTCTCCCCACTCTCCTCCAATCCCACACTCTCTCATTTACGGCACCCCGCGCCGGCTCCTCCCCCCCCTTTTCCAGTGGATGCAAAATTTAGTGCCAGAAACTACCTCTTATTACTACTCAGCCTCATTGTACTCTTGGCATTTTGGCCTTTACTTTTGGACTTTTTGCTTCCCAAAAATTATGAGCGAACTTCCAAGTTCACTTTCCTCAACCCCCCACTCCAAATTGCACTCCATAAATCACGTACTTCCGCCGAGCGCAATTTTCCAAAACTAAATTTGAATAGTACTTTTGAGTTCAGAAATTACAAGGATTGAATTATTCAGCTGAGATGCCGGAGCTATCATGGCTATTAGCATATGTTACTGAAATTCATGTGTTTATGTTGCGTTGTAAGTCTTGAGAGGTCATGTGGCAATTGAATGAGGAGGAAGCGGAGTTAGTTTTTTGTGGGAGATCTTCGATGGTTTACTTGTTAAAATTGCTTTTTTGATGGTTTACGGAGACAGTGTCAAGGGGAGAAATGGTGGAATGTCGAACCTATTAAAGTTTGCAGGCTTGCGTAGGACGAACTGGTAATATTTTTTGTTATTGTCACCATTGTCGACCTTGCCGTCTCAGCTTTTATTAAAAATTCTTTGTCTTTTGATCCATATTATTAGAATAGCGCAAAAAGTGCAGAGAATCTTGCTCAGCACCAGTCTCGTCTTCTCACATCACATGCAAAAAAATCCTTTCCACATGGCCGAGAAGGCGGTTGCAATAAATCTTTAATGTTCTGTCCCTAATTTACCTTCTCCGCGATGTCTGCCCCAGTCGTAATATTGTCACCCAACGTTTGCACGTTCTGATTCTCGGTTGCCAAGGTCTCTAGAAACGACGTATCAAGGTCTTTCTTCGTGGGGCCGAGGGTTATCTAGATGCTAAATCGTGTGGAATTAATTATACAGATATTCGAAGACATTGGACTTGATGAGTTCAGGGGAAGGCTGCACTCTTGTCGGTATCCAAATGAAAAATAAATTGCTTGAGAAAAAAAGAGTTCTAGTGATATTATAATATAATACAAACTATGAGGTTTGTCACCGTATATGAAATTGTTTTGGGTCTCCGCCAAAACTTTTGCATTCGTTTTTTGACACTGAAATTGTAAAATACGTATTGTCTGCGTGTCAATCGTATATTTATTTATCACATTTACGTTTACCGAGCCAAAGTCAATGGTTTTTTGTTATTCACGACTGCCTATGATAATGTCATAGGTTCATAAATTTTACTGCATATCAACAAAAAAAAGAACATTAGTCCGCAGAACGTCCTTGCAAGCGATTATTTTTAATATTTTCTCATTTCAGAAGCGTTGACCCGGTTACGGAATCAAAGCCCAACAACGGAATGACACCCACCGTCCAAAATGGACACACAAATGGCGATCTTAATCATATTCGAACTGAAGTAAGTCGTTTCCTGCAAAAATTTTTGCAAACATTTCCAAAATTCGTAGTCTCTTTGTCTTCTTTTGGCACTTTGATTACATAAAAACCATTACTAATGACATGAATTTTCAGTATCAAGAAACCGGTACGACCAGGACACGATCCATGGATTCGGATAAAATCGTGGCCTGGGAGCCGAGTCCGGACGAAAAAGATATCATAAAACAGACTTGGAGCGATGACTTTACCTTCCTTTACGAATTGGGATCCAACATCTATGTCTATATCTTCAATCACAACCCCGAAGCAAAACGATTATTCCCAACGATACATCAGCATGGCGAAAAATACCGGGAATCCAAAGAGTTCCGATCACAGGCACTCAAATTCGTGCAGGCCATCTCCCACACAGTCAAGAACATCTACCACATGAATGATTTGGCGCCGTATCTCTATGATATTGGCCGAAGACACGTCAAATTCGCTGCTCGAGGCTTCAAACCCGAGTATTGGGACCTGTTCTTGGTAGGTGAATGTCTTGGTTTACTGAATTTTCGAATTCTAGGATGCCATGGAATTCGCGTTGACGGATCACATCACCTCGCTTAAGACCATCGATGATGATGAACAGAGGGCCAAAGCTCTGCAAGTTTGGCGACGATTGGCCTTCTACATCATCACCCATCTGAAACGCGGCTTCTTCGCCGAATTGGATGCTCAAAACGGGAAATAGACCGTCTCCGGGATGGTCTTCTTGTTGGGCTGCTCGATTTCCGAGCAGTGATAAGTCTGTGATCATATTAATATACTACTATATTTTGAGTTTTAAAGTTATTTAGGCCACTCTTACTAAAACTCTTTAAAGTTTATTTGATGCTCATTTATATGAATCGTCCATTTTACACAAAGTTCTATGTTTTGAAAGTATTACTTTGTCTCCATTTATCTACTACAACTACTAAACCGTGCCACTTTTGAACAAAACTTTCTTTTTGCTATAGCTATTATTTTGACCGAATTGTTTTATTTGGAGAGTTGGAACCATAAAGTTTCGAATATCACGGAAAATAAATCCAAATGATTCGGTTCTGCCTCTCCGAAGTGCTGTAAATTCAACTGCTGTTATGTCTTGTTAGACTACCTCTTTGAATACAAGTTTACTCTGTATATTACGAATGTTTTGGCCAGGTTATAATCGAACGGTGAAATGCTAAATAAAAGAACAAATGTAAAAAGGCTGTGGTTCTTTCTTTGTCAGTATAAATATGGCAATGACAAAAGCTCAAAATGTTACAAGCGTTTATTACAGATATAGTCAAACCTTATTTTTGTTGGTTCCAGTGTCTAGTTGGACTGATTTCGCTTTTGTTGGGAACAACTTGAATTGAATTAAAAACTTACTTTATAAGCGCTCGCTTGTAATCTCAAAACTTTCTACAAGTTCCGCCGACCTTTTCGAGACAACACAAACCGTACAATTCGATGGTTTCCGGTATGGTGAAATTTCTATTTCTGGTATCTTCATGAATGTTCCACTAAGAATGTTCAACTAAACTATATTCTTTCGTAGTTGCATTTTATCCGAGATTTACAAGAAGGCTAACTGATCAAGGCACAAGGAGTTGTCCTCGCTTTTGAGCAGTAAAATTTACAAGCCAAAAAATGAAAAGATGTATTGTGTTCTTTGACTTCAAATAAAAGAATTGCGGCGGTTTCTGAAAAAGGGATGCAAATTTTTTGCACTCTGAATGCAATTGGATGCCTTTTATGACACATCACTATGCCCGGCGCTGTATGTCATAGAAAACCACTTGTTAAATTTGGCTCCATTTTCATCCAATTCCGTCCTCCCTGCGTGAAAGATTTCGATTGTAAGCAAACTTGAAAATAGAGCCGAGTTTTGTCTATCACCGCGCCGCTAGAGACTGCGCTGTTAAAAAATTGCTGAATTAGGATTAGATTGAATACTTTAGCCTTTCTATCATTGCGGCATCTTTGTTTCACACTTTGTTTTATAACCCCACATGGCAAAAACATGATGCCTCATCATTCTCAATTTTCACTAAAGTCAACATGCTCCTTTGGCAAAAAAATTTGCAAGATTTTAGCTGTCTCACCCTTGAAAAGTGGCTGCAAAACAAGATTTGGTTCAATGCTCTCTCCACAAAAAATATCTGGCATAAATTTATTTGTTGTCCGGCCATCCACCCGCCGAACCAGATTTGTTTATTGGGCTCCAAAAAATGATTATCTCACCCCATCTGTTCTTCGGAATTCCACAAAATATAATATATTTCGAAACCCCAGGAAAAGAATCCTCTTTTCGGCGACGGCAGTCCTTATAAAAGCACGGTGCCGGCTCGCTTTTTCGGCCGTTTTAAGCCCGCCGAATTATTGGATCTTCTATTTTCTCGGCCGCGTTTTGTATAGCCGGAGGGGGAAAGAAGATTATCGGAAAAATGGAGAAGGCAAGTTTCATTTCTGATGATGTTTTCACAATGAAAGCCTTGTTAATGATTTGTGCAACAGATTTTATTGGATATAACCTTTTATGGCCACTTTTTGCAGAGAAATCTTTTGAAAAAGACGCATAAAAAGGCCATGCCTTTATACAAATTTATTGCAAAGATTTCTACTACTCGTGAGGCGGAGTTTGCAGCGTTTTTCTCTGATGCTTCCCCGCTCGTCGCTGAGAATCCCGGTTTTACACTAGTGACAAAAACTTTTTCTCAAGCGCAGCCCAATTTTCTACGGCCAAAAAATCAAAGGTAATTATGTCCCCAGTAGTATCTGATTTGCAATTTTTCAAAATAAACGCACATCTTCTCACCGATTCCTTATCAAATTTACGTACCTGACGTACTTAATCCGTTGCCCGTTAATTTCCAACCCCATCTCCTCCTCAAATCCCCCCGGCCGAAGATTTTGTTATTGTTATGTCTGTAAATACCGCCGTGACAAATAAGTCGGTATTTTCTGGGCTAAATCCTGTTAATTCGGCTAATTTTCTCTTTATAATACGATGCCTTGTGGACCATGTTTGTTTTCATTCAGATTATAGTGTAAAATACAGTAGGAACTGTTTACAAAACCCTCCAATTCTTCGTTTTAATTGGTGTTTGCACAGAAGCGAATAATGAATGTATTTTGGCATGACATATGTTGCCAAGCTTGAGTCAAATCCGTATGCTCTTTTCGGCCGCATCGTCATAAAAATCACATAAAAACGGCCATAAAATATGTCGCACGCTTCTGCGCCAGCCATGACATCATGGATTTTGCTGGAAACTAGTACGTCATTGACTCAATTTTCGACAAAAAACTATCAATTCTTCAAGTTAAAACTCTCTAAACTCGGATGATAAAAGCGGCCGAAACGCCCGCTCAACTGGGGATTCTGAAGCGGGGGTTCGGCCGAAAATGTTTCTCAGAGTTTTGTCGCAAAAAACGAAATTCTTTTTCCAAAAGAACATTCGAGAAATTAGCCGGGATTAGCCTAATGGAGTCGCCTTTGCCTTCTGACTTTTCGGCTGGATTATTGTCGAAAAAATAGGGATTTGAAACGAAATTAATATTGCCGTAATAGATCGATATTTTTGTAAAGTGGTCCAAGTTTTCGTTTTGACTCTTATAAAGTTCAGTTTGTTTTTTTTATTCGTAACCACTATTTCAAGCTGATCAAATGAAAAATATCTATTGGTGTGAGAGGTCTCAAAAAGGTTTTTGACATTTTGGTCCCTTTGTTATACGGGAACAGTCATTTCTTGAGTATGGACGGCTTGGTACAGACGTCGGGGGACTATATAAGGGGATTCAAGACGGTATTGAATTGTGTGGTTTGGTTGGGGGTGTTTGAGACACTTCTTATATGTTTTATGGTTGAAATTGGTAACCCGTTTTTTTTATTATGCTTTATGCTAGACGGTCGGGAAGATAACATGGATTTGTCGCAGCAATCTTCAGCCGCGGCAAGCCGTCGCAAAGCGATGATGGGCGATTTCGAAGGGCGACGAATCCAAATTATTTTCCCGACAACTTGTAAAAAAAGTGCAGAGTCCCAGATTTTGATTAAATCGTGGAAATTTTGTACAAGAAATTTGCAAAAAAAATTTTTTACAGAAATTTGCGGTATTCCTATGGATTTTCAGTAAAAGATAAAATTTTTTGGCCGAAGGTTGGCGAATGTTCAAAGTCTTTTGGTCAGTTATCATGTAAGACTTCTGTTACATTTAATGAAAGGGTTTTTCTATGACGCTCTCTGTATTTCGCGTACTCGAAATCTGGGTTTTGCACTTCGTTCATTTCCCCCTTGTAATCTGTATATTGTTGTACTATTATTTATTTCCATTCGTATCATTGTCGGGGCCCTTTTGCCATTGTCTGTCGGCCCCAATTCTTCATGCTCATAAAATTTGAAGAATCTCGGTGTTATTCGTCAGAAGAATTTGTCGGCGAGTCGAATTTGTCTCGTCTAATTTTAGTTGGAAACAGATTGCGGCCGTCTAAAAATAGGGGGCCGGCCCACCTTTTGGTCGTTGGATTTGGGAATAATGAATGAGAAGAAAACGAAGACTTCTGGAAGACCGGGAAGTCGTTTGAACCTTCGTTGCAACCGGAGATTAATCCAGTACGAAAGAGTTTTCCATCCCTCTTTTGAAGGCATTTGGGGATGAAATTAGCAGGGTGATTGCAGAGTTTTTTAACGTGAGAATCATACGGAAATCGGCTAGAATTTTAATCATAATTTTCTAAAGTTTATTGCTAACTGTAACCGCCAAGATTTTTTTTATCGAAAGCTAAAAAACTGGACACGTGCTCCCTTGCAAAGAAGGCCATTGAAAATTTCGAATGATGCTGACAAGGAGAGCGAGCTCAGACAGTAAATTTCTTAAGGAAGTTTGGATTCCAACTGTGGTATTTTTCTCCCGACCATTTATTTTGTTTTCCTCATTCTCCGCCTGATTTCCAATTCGCAAAAAGCCTTGTTTTTAGTTGACCAACTTTTGTCCTCACTTGCCTTGTTTGTACCCTGTTCCACGTTTTCTCTTCATTTCCAACTTCTCTCTGCATTTTTTCCAAAATTTTTGTCGATATCATTGCCAGGTAACGACACTGTCTTTAGTCATTCGAATTTTCATAAAACAATTTTCGGACTAATTTTCCCTGTTCCCCAATTTACATTCGCTTTTTCCTGGCGGTCATGCCAAGAATCAAGAGTGAGAAATTGAAAATAGAAGTAGTGCGGCCAGGCGGAACGAAAAGAGGCCTCCGAAGAAGGACGGCAAACATTTTTTGTTAAAACACTCCGGATTATTCGCCGCGTATTTACCGGGATTTTACATGTTTTGCCTCGGGGGGTTTAGGGAATGTTTCTTGATGACTTTTTACGCTCTTTACGCTCTTTGGAGAGGCTTACGTAAGATTTTGGAGGACGTATTACGGTAGTTTAGAATGTTTGAACTTAAAACTTGGTGGCGATTTTTGCAAATTCCTTTGTAAATACAATGATAAATGATCTGACAGCCGTATTTTAGAAATTTTGTTTTCTTCTCATTTTCTGTAACCTAATTTGATTTTATTTTTGCATCAAGCCGTGTTTTTCGACCGTAATTACATTAATTATCGCCCAGTGCATGTGGCTTATAAACTAATTTTGTCACGCCGAGTAAAACCCGTAAATAAGACGGTCCAATTTCAGTCAAACCTCACACAACGATGAAGAATGGCGGCGGATTTCAACTAATCTTGAGCTTTAAGTAAGAATTCAGAGCCTTTGCCCAAGATTGTCCATACAATCGAGACTCATCGTATTTACCTCAATTTCCTTTCAGAAACGCCGAAAACAATGAAAATGTGGTGTTCAAACAAGACGGACAGAGGTTCGGCACTTCGCAACGGACGCTGAAACTTTTTTCAAACGCCAAATACAAGATACATATCACTGCGAAGCCCGGAGGCGATTTTCAGTAAGATTGTGCTATGATTTGACGAATACAAAGAGCTCAATTCTGCATCGTATTTTTCAATACATTAAATTTCAGTAATCTCCATTGTGGCGGTTCGGATCTCGAGTTGATTCCTGATGCTCCGGATTCGGGAGAGTACACAGCCCTTTGGAATACGACAGGAATCGACCCGAATAAGAAAGGAGAACGGCAGGATCTTCTGTTCGTTTTATCGGTAAGAGTTTTTGTGGTACCTTTGCAACAGAATGGTTAACTAAACGCAGCGTACAAATTGTGTTTTTTAGTAGGGTCTCTATTTTCACAGATACCATAAAGGCCCTTATATATGACTGGAAATTTCAATGTCATACACCGAGAGATTCATTTTCAGGGCCCAGCCGGATCACTCCGGAAACAACTCCAAACCAAATTCTACAACCGAGGCGACAGTCACGCCGAATGGGGCCATAAACTAGAGCAACTGATATGGAGTTGTGCTGTAGATGCGACTGGGACGATAACAGTGGTCGATGAACAGAGTTTGTAAATATGTTGTTTCCGTCTTTGTTAGGTTTCTGCTTTTTTGGTCTTTATGCTAATTTTCCGGTTTAGTGAGTCCATTCAGAAGTTTTGGATGTTAATATCGATGAAAGGTTCTGAGTTTGAAAAAGTAATCATTTAAAAGACGATTTCTGAGTCAGTGCGTCAGCCGTGGACATAGGAAAAAATCGATTTTGAGTTTTTTGCATTAAAATGACTGTTGGAAGGGGCTAAGCAAAAGCGAACAATATTTTTTCCCAAATCCTTCTATAAGGTATATTTTTTTACAATTAACTGTTTTAGAAGTAATCGCCTCTAGCTGTGGTATCTTACCTTACAGTGCAGTGATTTGACGGCTACTGTAGTTTTTGACCCTTGCGAACACCATGGAGTGATTATTTTTCCCGGTTTCCTACTGTAACATACCGTAATACCATATCGACCGCTAAAAAACGGTCGTAAAATCTTTGTTTCTAAAAACCCCCAGCTGATTTTTTGATATGTTAATCAGCGTAAAATTCTGCTCTAGACCCAATCAAAAAAAGTGCAAAAAGTGGTGCGACAAATTTCGTGGTGTAGTGGTTAGTGGGCGGGACTACCATTCCAGCGTCCCGGGTTCGATCCCGGCTGGGTGCAAATGTCAAAAAAATGCCGCAAATCAATTTTAATGTAAAAATAAGGAATGTCCGAAGAACAAAAAGCAATTTTAAATGATTATGACACCTCTGTTTTCGAGTAAACCCGGTTTAATGGTATCTTAGCGGCTGAAAACGGAAAAAATAAAAGTGCTTCAAATGTGATAAAATTCATAGATATGGTTCTACAGGTTATTATAAGAAACTTTTCCGTTAGTCTTTTTTTGTAGCTTACAGTATAACGGATTACTGTAGCATTATGCAGAATTTCGTATTTTGCGTTCTACATGGCGAAAGAGAGCTGGAAGTAAAGTCATAATGTGCAGAATTATTACCAAGAAGCTTATCTGTGAGAAAAAATATTTTTTATGGCAGGATGATTTGGAATACCTGAATAATCTTTCACCGTATTAGCGATCAACGATGACGTCAGAACATACTCGAAATAATTTGGAATTTTGTTTCGGATAACGAAAGGCGACTTTTTTGCTGGCAGAGCGGTCTAACAAAAAATCCCAACCTTTTTTCAAGAACATCGAAGGGAAAATCGATTTTTTATAAATAGTTTCATGTTACAGTAATCCGTTATACTGTAAGCTACAAAAAAAGACTAACGGAAAAGTTTCTTATAATAACCTGTAGAATCATATCTATGAATTTTATCACATTTGAAGCACTTTTATTTTTTCCGTTTTCAGCCGCTAAGATTACATTAAACCGGGTTTACTCGAAAACAGAGGTGTCATAATCATTTAAAATTGCTTTTTGTTCTTCGGACATTCCTTATTTTTACATTAAAATTGATTTGCGGCATTTTTTTGACATTTGCACCCAGCCGGGATCGAACCCGGGACGCTGGAATGGTAGTCCCGCCCACTAACCACTACACCACGAAATTTGTCGCACCATTTTTTGCACTTTTTTTGATTGGGTCTAGAGCAGAATTTTACGCTGATTAACATATCAAAAAATCAGCTGGGGGTTTTTAGAAACAAAGATTTTACGACCGTTTTTTAGCGGTCGATATGGTATTACGGTATGTTACAGTAGGAAACCGGGAAAAATAATCACTCCATGGTGTTCGCAAGGGTCAAAAACTGCAGTAGCCATCAAATCACTGCACTGTAAGGCAAGATACCACAGCTAGAGGCGATTACTTCTAAAACAGTTAATTGTAAAAAAATATACCTTATAGAAGGATTTGGGAAAAAATATTGTTCGCTTTTGCTTAGCCCCTTCCAACAGTCATTTTAATGCAAAAAACTCAAAATCGATTTTTTTCTATGTCCACGGCTAACTGGCGGCTGATTCACTGACTCAGAAATCGTCTTTTAAGTCCGTTCGAGAAAGCCAAAAGTTGAGAGCTCAAGAAAGTTAGAGTAAGTCAAACAAGTAACACTATATGCATTCTTTCTGTCGAGGTAATTGGACTTCCTTAATGAATTACATCAGGATTTTGTCAGTTTTTTTATTCACAAAGAAGAGCTCAAATTTTATTGAAGCATGGCACAAATTGAGATCTTTTTCTAACATAAGGCATATGCAAGATGCTAGACCCTTAGCTTGCGCTTTGCGGAAACTAACGAGAATTGAAAATGCATGTCAAGCCAAAATATTTACGTATGTAGAGCAAATAAAACTTCTGGCGGAAAAAAGATTCTTTCTCTGATCGCTCTCCGCATTTCGCGCACTATCTCACCAATTATGAGTGTTGAATATCTTGGCTGCACCTGCAAAGCGAATGCTAAATTTTTCAGGACTTGAAAGCCTTGACAGTGTGTACATTTTTAACGAAAATTTGAGCTTTGTGCTCCGCACAATTTCCATGTAAAAGCATACCCAAAAAACCTAAAATTTCTGATTGGACTTGCAATTTCGAGCGATGAAAACTTTTTTTACTACAGTCTCTCAAAAGAATAATCATTTATCTTTGATTTTTTCTCATTTTTAGTCAGTGTAGTTGTTCTGGCTCAACTTTAACCTCAATTCGGCTTTAAACTTCAACCAATCTTTTTTCATCAAAATCACAGAGATTTGATTATTTTTGTCTAATCACACCAAACGCACTTTCTTCACCAGTGAATTTACCGAGTGATCTCAGATTATTAGACTTTTATCACTTCCAAAGTTTTTCAGATCTTCTATTGAGAAATACACTAAATATTGAAGTTATTTCGAATACAACACATATTTTTATGCTTGAGTAAATAAAAATGCTGATTTTATGCTGAATTTATGATGTGTGAAATTGGGGAAATTTATGGGGAAGTCGGTGAATTGGGTGTCCCGGAATAGGATAAAAGTCGGCTCAAGCTCAGGACGTCACTTTCTAAGGCGAATGCGAGCCATTTATTATACGTACTGTGTACCCGGGCTCTCCTAATTTTGCATGCTCTCTCGCTAAAAGTCTATGAGTATAATAGCTCAGCTAGATTGTGAGGAAAACACCCGTAGCTAGTTTCGCATGTAAAATTCGACGGAAATCTGCGCTTTTCTTAAAAGACTTTCCTTTTAAGGTAAGGAATTTTTTATCGAAAACAAACGCCGGCAATTTGTTTTCGAAAAATAAAAGATCCTGAAAATGCAAATAGCATAAAACTTGTGTCCTTCGGACTCGAATAAAAACAAACGAAAGTCCAGATTCCCTTGCAAAATATTTTCCTCCGGACACTCGATATTTGCATTTCCAAGAACATATTCATATTTACGCATGCCCTTTATCGGGAATGGGCATCGCAAGGAGAGGGGTGAGAGTAAAATTAAAAGCCGTTCGGATGGGTGCGGTGAGAGGGCAGGGTGCTTGCAGAAAATCGAGGAAACCCTCGGCGACAACTGGAGGGAGGGGTGACCCCTCGGAATCAAATAATAAACTAGAGGTGAAAAGCGTCTCGAGAGACGCGTTTCGCCCTCAGGGGAGACGGGAGGTTTGGCTGATTTGTGGGAATGTTTGTGGCATGTTTCAGGTAGCTAATGGGGGAGAGATGGGAAAATTGAAAAAATTTTGTGGTCTTTTTTATTTTTTTGGATTTAAATTACGCTTTTAGATTTGAATTAGGTTTAAATTCGTTTCGCAAAAACGTTAACGAGAAATTCAAGATTTTACTTGCCTTTATTTTTCTCTTTCTTCTTTCTTTTCGCCGATTACGTATGTAAATCGTCAGTTGAGTACACGCAAACTACATATTTATATTCCTTTTATGGGCGTTTAATTTTGCCAAGGATAAATGGGGATGCAAAAACATAGTTTTTTTTCAGAAATTATTCTGAATTTCTGATTTTTTTGCCTATTTTAATGGAAAAAATGGGGAAACTTCAATTTGACCACAATTGATTTGAAATTTTATAAATTCCCGTTTTTAAATTTTTCGATTCAAATTTTAATTTTCTTTGATTTCTTGATAGCTCAAATCCCAAAGCATCGGGTATTTATGACGAACTGGGTCCAAATAATTTATTCTTTTGTAACAAACACGTTTTCACTACTATGAGCGAAAAAATTAGTGATTCTTGCATGTCTTGTCGCGTAAAAACAGAATACAAAAGACGGGTTCAAGTGCGAAATGTTGAATTTTTTGGGCATACGGTTAGACGACGTTTATTTTCTTTTGTTTTTTTTTGTTAAGACGGGGATCATCCTGCTGTAAAAAACGCTTCCTAAAACTGAAATTGGCTTTGAAAAATCTTTGTTCAGATTTTAATTTAAAAATTTGTTCTCGATTGCTAGAAGTCCTGAACAATTAGCAAAGGCTCAAAATTATAATCGATAGTCCTTATGACTAATGTTGAAAGGCTGAGTGATCGCTGGCAAATATTCTTTTTGTGTTTCCTCGACTTGTCATATTTTATCTTACGGCCCTTGTGAAAGATCTATTGATTTGCTCTTCTTTCTGAATGATAAGTTCAAAACAGTTTTCTTTTGTAAATTCTTGGGCATCTTCTTTTCTGATCCTACCTTTGTATTCCTCTATTTCTAAACTCATCTTTTCTAAACTAACTCATCTATTTCTAAACTCAGCCTTTCCCCCGCAAATTCCTTTTAAAATTATTGAATATTGCCTCAAAAGAATTCGATAATTCTCTTTCGATAACAATCCAAGCCTTCAATTTTCTGTCATTGTTACGTAACACCATTATTCCCAAGTTCGAAGGCAAAGTTCGAAGGGAATAAACAGGGAAAGCAGGGAGAGGAAACGGCATCTTTCGGCCGCTTTTGGGTTTGGGCCAAGAATCCGGCACGAAAAAATCTTCCTATCTATTTAAATGCGGGTCAGAATGGGGGGAGAGGGCAAAACAAGATAGATTAGGATGTACTTCTTCAACTTTTATTGAGGGTTTTCTCAATCTTTTGGCCGGATTTTCAAGTTTTGATGCTTCAAATCCGATGTTAAGCTGTTATTTACGATTTGACGATGGTTTTTGTGACGGTTGTCTGTTACGAATTAGAGATATCCATTCTGGAACTTTCGGAAACTCTTGCGTTTTCGCTAACATTTCTTGAAACGACAGTACAAACCAAACTTCAAACAAGGCGTTCCAGACCTGCAGCTTCAATTTTCTTCAAAGTTGACAGCTCGTGTCCATATTGGCCATATTTAAATCCCAAAACTTTTGGTTCCCCATTTGTTTTTACCGTCCAAAATTTGAAGTGTCCACTTCAGACTAAAAGAACTTTGTTTATAAAAATTCTCAGCTGATTTTTAATCCAAAATTCAAATTATTTTTTTTCAAAACTAATAATTTTATTTTTGGCCTAAATTTATTCAAAACTGGAAATTTATTTTTTGAAATTAAAATGATTTCCGAAATATTCTTACAATCAGCACGCAATTTGGTTATAAAAGTTAGTTTCCAAATTTTCCGTCATGCTCTGACCAAACGGTGCAGAATGTGATACTTGGAGTCCTCGATACGTTTTGTTTGTTCTGCTCCTGACGTGAACTCTTAAATGTGCATGCACAATGCAGAATGTCTTGTGTTTCCTTTAGGACATTTCATTCATTCGGTCTATGAATTTCAAATTTCTCTCTGGATTTGTTGTTTTATCCCTGTGTATTTTTGATTTCAAATTTTGAGACTTGTTTCAATTTTAATTGGTCGTATTTTTGATTACAATCTTTTGGCTTTACATTTTTGAAATATGAAATTTAGACCAACCGAGTTTAAAATCTGCGCTAAAAATCGTTTGGCCCAGTTTTTGATCTTCGATTTCGTTTTTTTGAAAGTTCATTCCCCCAGGTTAACCGTTTTCCATCGGACGCAATGACATCTTGAACATCGATCATCTCCTGCACAGCCAACCACGCCCTCAACCTGTCCTGAGGGCCCATTCGAAATGGGGTTTCGGCTCTGTCAAAAGTACATAATGGCGGTCGTTGTTTCCACCGGGCTATGTTTCTTTTTTTTATTCATCGCTTTCGGGAATGAGCCCGTTCTGAGCGAAGCAAACTTTGATGGGAATGCCCTGAGGGTCAGATCTCTGGGAAATCGCTTGGTCAGTACGGATGGCAACGAATTCCGGAGGATTTTAAAGGAATTCACAGCCAATACGACGGAAAATGATGTGGAATATAAGAAAAATTATGTGAAAGCAGTAGGTTATCGCCGACAATGTCACAAAAGAAATTTTTTGGATTTATAAAAAAACGCTTTCAGATGATGAAATTTGCCTGGGACAATTATCGGAATTATGCCTGGGGCGCTAACGAGTTAAATACCGCCAAAAAGTCGGCTCATTCTGGCTCAGTCTTTGGTGCAGCCCATATTGGTGCTTCTATTGTGGATTCTGTTGATACGTTATACATGATGGGCCTCATGGATGAATTTACCGATGCTAGAGAGTGGATTCGGCAGAGCTTCGATCTCAGGAAATCGGTAAGCGCATACTTATCAAACCCAATTCCTATTTCTTTCCCTTCAGCCATCTTCATTGTCAGTTTTCGAGACAAATATCCGGTTTGTTGGAGGATTACTGTCAGCGTATGCGCTCAGCAATGATACCGTAAGTTTCGCTATTCTTTGCCAATCTCACAAAAAAAAATTCTTTTCAGATGTTCCTAATGAAAGCTCGAGAAGTTGCCGATCTTCTCCTGCCCGCCTTCGACACTCCAACTGGGATTCCATTGGCTTTAGTCAACATGAACAGCGGCCGAGCGGCCAATTGGGGATGGGCATCGGGCGGATGCTCCATCCTCTCCGAATTGGGATCATTGGAATTGGAATTCAATTATCTGAGCAAAGTTACGGGTTCAGATCTCTATCAGAAGAAAGTTAAACGGGTCCGAGAAGTGATGGATCAAGTGGAGAAGCCGGACGGGCTTTATTCCAATTATATCAACCCCAAAACTGGAAGATTCTGTCTAAGTAGGGTCTAGTATAATTCGTCTAGTATAATATTTGAAAATTAATCGAATTCTCAGAGCAGTTTACAAAATTTGCAATTTCAGAACACGTATCAATTGGTGCCTTAGGCGACAGTTACTACGAATATTTGCTCAAAGTCTGGCTTCAGACCGATCGTCAGGATTCAGACGCCAAAAGGATGTATGATCAAGCCATGGCCGCGTTAGAGAGTAAACTACTCTTTACTTCCAAACCAAGTGGCCTCAAATACTTTGCGGATCTCCGCGGAAATCGAGTGGAACATAAAATGGATCATCTGGCCTGTTTCTCGGCAGGAATGTATGCTCTACAATCGAAATATGAGACGGATTTGGAGAAGAAAATGCATGCGTTGGAAGTAGGAAAGGAGTTGGGGAAAACTTGCCATGAAAGCTATATTAGGACAAGTGAGCAGTCGTAATGTTGTTGAGGAAATGGCCATTGCAATCATTTTTAAATTTCATATGAATCAAACGCATTTCAGCAACCGGAATTGGCCCGGAAGCCTTCCGTTTCACCCCAGATGTGGAAGCCCAAGCTGTCCGCGATGGCGAAAGGTATTACATTCTTCGCCCTGAGGTCGTTGAGGGCTGGTTCTTCCTGTGGCGTGCCACTCATGATCAACGCTATAGAGATTGGTGCTGGGCCGCAGTCCAAGCGATTGATCGTCATTGCCGCGTCGAAGGCGGCTTTTCCGGTGTGCGGAACGTCGATAAAGTACCGGTAGTGCATGATGATGTGCAGCAGAGCTTCATCTTGGCCGAGACCTTGAAATATTTGTACTTGGTGTTTGAGGATGACAGTGTGATAGATCTGGATAACTGGGTCTTCAACACGGAAGCCCACCCATTCCCGGTTATGAAAAGTTAGAAAACGATGACTTAGAAGCATAGAAACTACTCCATTTTAGTATCCAACTTTTCTACTATGATCTCACGGTCTTTCGTTTTCCTCTTCGTTGAGATGATTGAAATTCAGGGAAATCGTCTCAGGACCCACTCTTTTGTCACCGCTTTTTTGCGGCTGCCTTTTCTTGCCAAACAAAGATATATGTATATTTTATATATTTGACCGTCCGACGTTTGTTATGTTAATAAATGTTTATTATCTGATTGGGAAACGACTTTGAATCGAGAAAAATTACTTTTATTATGATTATAAAGTTTAAAAACGATTTCATAGAATTTTACCGTTTTGAGCGATAAAAGTTAACAAAATGCCTATTCAAATATCAAGATGAGATGAAAGAATTGGGTAAAAACACAAAATTGTTTTGGTAGGTTTGACTATTTGAATAATAATTACTAAGATCGGAAAACGACGAGATTCGAACTGCAAAAAATGCCAAAAAAGAGATTCCAAAAAAACCGCCAAGGGACCCATATTTGGCACGAAAAAAGATTAGGAAAAATGCGACATAGCCACCGAAAAACTCCGTATATCAGCCGGGAATTTGGCTGCGTAAAGAATTGGGTCCCTATCATCTAATAATCGAAAAAAGAAGCGTATTTCCGGCCTATTAATGACTGGCTTCGTCCTTGTTCCGCTTATGTAACAGCGGCTCGTTTTCATTATGCCCAGCGCGACCTTCGTCTGGAGAGGGCTTCACAACATTGATTGTGATGGCCTCATCGTCTTCATCTGGAGTAGCCAGTCGGGGAGAACTGAAAAAAATGTGTGAGTTTTTGATTGCTTGACAATTAATGACCTATTATACCAATAGTCTATATTCTATCACTTACTGGTTGTTATCCTTATGACCAGCTCTCAAATTATCCTTGGAGTCATTAGTAATCGATCTCCAAAGTCCGCTTGAGTTCACTTCCTTGCTGATATTGATGTTATGCGAAGGTTGGTCTTGGATCGCGGCCAATGGAATCTTAATCACATTCCCTGAAGTCATGGGAATGTGAAGATGAGCTTCTGTTTTCACGGCATGAATTGTTCCTTGATTCTCGTCCAGATCAATCTCAATTTCCTCTGGCTTGGAACTCCTTCTCTTCATGTCTTCTTTCTTGCGAAGATGGAAGTCGGGCATCTTGTCGTCGAGGTATTTGAGATCTTTCTCGGAGAAGAATTTCTCCATCAACTTTCTGATTCCGACCATGACAACTAACTACAAATTCAAAGGATAAATTGATCGCTACACATTGTTATAGCAAGAAAAAGATCGAAAATAATCCTACCATAATAGGAAAGGCAATGGATGTCTTCTTTATCGACTTCACCACCCACAAAACGGCCAAACAAGCGGCCTGCACGGCCGTGAACATATGGATTTTCTTGATGGGGACGTGGCGAATGTAGATTGTGTCGGGCTGATACTTCATAGGCATGAACAACAGCAATATACGGTCGAACAGTTGGATTCCACCGAGAGCAGCAATACCCATATACATGAAGACACCATAGAGGACCGGCATTGGAATATGAGCGAGGATCTTGGTCAAGAAGACCGAGAGGCCGATGAGAAGGAAGGTCGCGATACCTGGAAGATGATTGTGAGATGAATGAAAAAACAACAATACTAAGAAGTACATGTATAACTTACCAGTAACTCTTTGCTCTCTGACCCCAACGAATTGCGCCACTTCTCCCGGCGCCCTCGATTCCGACTCCATTTTCAACGAGTTGACATGGTTAATCGACAAGACCGTAGCCGCCACGTAAACCGGCAGTCCGAACATCCCAACCAGCACGATCAAGATGGCCAGCACAAACAAATCCAAATGATATCCGCATCCCTTCTTCAGTTTGTTCTCTTTTCTGTTCACAATCACAGTCGTGATTTGCTGATCCATGAAGATCAGAATACACGCCAATAAAGCGGGGATAATGGCCAAAGGCGCAGTCCACAGTGGGTTCCCATCAAAGGGGAAGATGAACCATTGACGACCCGAGTAAGTGGGACGGAAACTGGAAGGCACATTCAACTTGGGGGTGTTCACTCCCATCGCGATATCCACCAGAGTCATGATGACAATGGCAATCATAACCGCGAAATCGGAAAGAACTTGACGGACGAAAGAGGGGAAATAACAGCTATTACGCATCTTCTTCAGGGTGATGGCAAAGAAGAAAGTTCCCAGCATGAGGACCAAGGACATCAGGAACTTGTCGTAGAGAACGAAACAGCCATCGCCGGACAAAGTGCCCATAAGTTTCTTACAATGGCCAAGAGCGAGCTGAAAGATAAGAAAAGTTAGAGAGGGTCTAACTAGTCTTTTTGAGTATTAAAAAGTTAATCTTACCTGTTCGTATTGAACACGGTTGCCATCGTGGATCACAGCACTATCCATATGATATTTATGAGCTGCTGCCTGAACTTCGGCCAAGGTCGCATTCCCCGGTAAACAATGACAATTCCCAGTCCTTGCATCCGGAATTACATCCAAGTTGTCGCTGATTTTGTAAAGCTTGACCATGGCCTCATAGATGAAGATGACGGCAATCAAAGTGGCAAAGGACTCCTCCGTAAATCTGGTGATATAAGATACCAACGAAGAGGCGTCCGTCATAACCATGATGGTCAAGATAACGGCTGTCCAAACATGAACCCAGAATCGGAAGCTCAGATAATTCAAGCCGAGACCTTGACACATATCATAGACAATGGTTTCGAACACAAGAACCGGACCAGTTGAGCCGATAATTGTAAGAGGTTGGCCGGAGAATAAATGGTAAAGAACCCCGCAAAGAGCGGCACTAGCGATGTTCTCCATGGCTGCCTAAATCCATAAATGGTAATATTAAGAAGGATTCTTACCATTCTCTGATGAGTGGCCTCTTCCAACAACCCTCCAAAGGTAACAATTGGAGCCAGCAAAGCGAAATACATGAAACACACAGTAGCGACGCACTGCAGATTCAACGCGTCTTTGTAGTCGCTCCAATACCACGGTAACTTTCGTTTAATGTCTGCCATAAGACCACCGCAGAATTTGCCAGTCCTCTTCAATGCAGGATCACTGCCATGAGCATCTTCTTCTTCAGGCTCGATCTTTTTGGTCTTCTTTGGCGATCCCGATTGTGCCTGTTCTAACAGATCTTTTGGCACCTAAATCCAAGATAGCGCAATTAAATATAAACGTACCTGCATTCTCTTCTCCTGCGACGGAATTTTGCTGGGTGGTTCAATACGAATTGTCGGATCCCACTCTCCGGGAGGAAGGACTGTAACTTGGTCAAGGAACTCATCAACTCCATCAAGCAAATCGTCGCGATGACGCGCTTTATATGCGACGTCATGAAAGATCTAAACTATGGGGATCGTTAGACTCCAGTTATATCAATATTAGATGAGTATGCGATAAAAAAGAGCCAAATATTTTTTTTTGACAATGGTTGTAAAGAGAGTCAAAATATCCACCAACCTCGTCAGACATAAGAGTAGCAATGGCTCTTCCGATCTCCTTGAATTGAGCCGAATGACCGGTCGGGCCAAGCAGAATGAACAGGAACCTCGTAGGCACAGGGACCTCGACAAGATCGCCCAAGATCGACGCCGTCTTCAGTCTAACAAACGCAGTAACATGATGGTTGAGGAAGTCGACTTCTCCCACCAAAACATTGGAAGCTTCAGCGCCTGCGGGCAGTTTCTTCATAAAATGAGTGTTCCCCTTTAAGGAGACATCGCTGGAAGAGCCATCGCGAGTAATGTCCTTAGGAACTGATCCAACTTTTGGCAATTCCAACTGATTTGAGGTCTTCTGCGGGGAATCTTCCTCTTGCCCGTGCTTGTGGAGATTCCTGCCGTGCGAAAATGACTTTCCAATATCCGAAATTGATCGGACTGCATTCAAAAAGCCGGAAGGTTGAGCTCCAGTGCCATTCGTAGCTCGGCCAGCCTAGAATTTTAGTCCTTATTGGAAGGTTCGATACTTTTTGATACTTTTCTTTGATTATTTTTTTTGCCTTCTTTGTGGTGTAGCTTACCTGTTCATACTGATGAGTATGCCGACGATTCAAGACTAATCTGACGTCATCCCTCTCGGATTCTTCCAATTGGCCAGAATGAATCAGCTCATCCAAGATCTTATCTGAAATTTTATTTGTAAGAAACAAGTTTTTTTCATATTTTCTCTTTAGAATTCTACTGGATTTTGAACTCTTAGTGATTTCTAAACAGTCTTCTTTATACTGTAAACACATATGCTTTTTCAGCATTTTCGTCATAGCAAACCCTGACCAGCGTTCCTCAAGACTCATTGAGAAATCAAAAAAGAGCAACTCTCCTAAGCCCCGCCTTCGAAAACCAGAGAACCGACCGGCCGGGGTGTGATCTCTGGTTAAGGCCCCCAAAAAAAGAGCCGTTGGCCAGAGATCCGAAACATGCATGCAAAAGCGTGGGGTAAAGCAGAGATCTCGAGGAACCCGGGCTTTTAGAAAACAATAAGACCAAGCAAGTCTTGGAAAACGGGGAAAGCTTAGGTTCAGAGGGCTAAAACTACAGTTATCTGTTTTTTGCATGCTGGATTAAAGCCTCATTTTTACTGAGTAATATATAATTTTCCGGTCAAAGTTGGCTCATTGAGGGCTCGAAATTTGGGTCGGATTTTGACGAAGGTATAAAAATAGCAGGAAGAAACAGGATGTACGGAAAAGGTCGTAAAATGGCCTACCAATAAGCTGAACCAAGTTGTCGGCTTCCAAATCCATCATCACAACACCATTTAAAAGGCACGATCTAAAAGAAAATATTGCAAATATTTAAAAGAGTCGTTTCCATTTGTAGTAAACGATGACCAATAGTCACTATGATAAATTTCAAGACTGCTCACCTCAACTGAAACAATGCGTGTAACGACAACGTGGCGACGTGAGGTTTTGACCACCGATTTCCGCCTTCCTCGACATCTTCTTCGAACTTGACCCATCTCGCGGTTTCCTTCCATTCCTCGGTACCCCCAGAACGAAACAGTTCTCCCATCTCGGTGAAGAGAGCTGGGGAGTCGCTGGTCTCCTTGAGGAGAAACATGACTCTGGTACCCGGCGCTGAAACGAGATTTTCGATTATTTCGAAAATGATGACTATGATTTCTGATTTTTTTACTTCTCTCATATTTTTTTGCAAATTATTTTGAACCGTTTAAGTAATCCCCTATATTCTACAGCCTTTTGTTTACATCGTGTCCACTCGCCCCTTTCCCCCTTATTTCGAAGTTGTTGTGTCTCAGAAAAGTGTAAAGTAAACAGACACATCGTTATTAGTCCAATTAAATATTCATTAAATTGGGGAAGACCCTCCAGGAATAGCAGATCGTCATATGATGGCATGTTCGTCATGTAAAGATGACATCAGTTGGCTATCTTTGCGGGAAAAAGCAACAAAAAGCTTTAATTTAGCATTTTGGGGCAAGTATCGTAAATAAATTTCATGTTGCGAAAGAATCAAGAGTATATTAAAATTACTATATTTACTTTGTGATTTAATTTTGTAAAATTTTGGAGCAAAGCAGCAACATTTTGCATTCTAGACGTGATTATGACAAATAGAAAATGACAAAACCTGTCAGATAATTGTCAGATAATCGTGTACACCCCCATGAAGTCCACATGCACATCTTTTTCCTCCTGGAACTTACGTTTATCGTTATTTCGCTCCTTTTCATCGGCGCCCGTTTTCTCCTCCATTTTCGGGGGCCCAGAAAATATTTAAATAGTTTTACTCGCTCAACCCAGGAAGCCGGCCTGCAGTCAACATACGATTCAACATTCGATAAAATAATTTTAAAACAAAACCGAAAGCTGATACGCCAACTTGGAATCGAAACCAAAGGAAGTCGAGTGTAATATACAGGATAAGCGCTACTGGTAAATAAATGGGAGCAAAGTAAAAAATGGATTTTGAGTGATACGTTCGTAATACATGAAATTGACTTTGCATTTAGGTGTTTGCTGGGAATAATAAAGTAAAATAAGGTCGAAGTGAGGACAAATTTAGGAAAACAGGAGACCCCCTAAGGGCAAAAGAAGCCGAGTCAGAATCCCGGAAGTGCAAGGAAAGTGCGCCGAGTATGAAACTCCCGTGCACCTAGTGCATTAAGATCCAAATTACTTTCCCAAAATGGGATGTAATGAGGTCCCTCGGACAACTAATCCTTAGGTAAATTTAGAAAATGGACCAGAGATTCGAATTTAACATTTTGATAACATATTAAAGCAAAGTCATCTCTGAACAGGAAAAAAATGAATGAAAATCTTTCCGAGTATTGCAATATGGGAAGTTGACACGGTAAAGATATCACAAGCCATCAAAACGCCTTTTCTCGCTAAAAGTTGGCAGTGGAAATAACACAAAAAGTCCAAATCGCTGTTGGTGCAGGTAAAAGAGGGCAAGTCCAAGTGAGCAAGCCTAATGAATTCTTGAAGCCCTCAAGTCGACAGGATTTGATTTTTTTAGTGTAGGAAGTTTAATCGGCCAAGGAAACTCTAAAATTTCAGATGAAACAAGTCTTTCGGATTCTTCGTTTGGGGAATGCACCAAAAATAAGGCTATAGCGTAAAACACCCAATATAATCCAAGTTTCCATCGTAAAAATTTAAGATTCGACCAAAAATCCGTTCTAATCCCTAAACCAAAACAAAACCACAGACAATGACAAAAGAAGCCCCTGAATTATCAGACTGCCCATCTACATGAATCCAGAAGAACATGGCCGACCATTTTTTGGACCAAAATCCGGCGCCATCTCCCCTTCCTCGCCTCATCCCCATTTTTTCGGCCGCTTTTTCCCTTCAGACGACCGGCGCCCCGTCTGGACATTGCTAATGCCCGGAGAGCTTATAGCCCTCGGGGCTTTTTTAAGGCCAAGAAAATGTTTGTGCCTCTCTTCGGTTGGTGTAATCTTTCCTTTTCTCTAGACGCCTCTTTGTTTGCACTATATTTTGGTTGAGGAAAAGGCAAAGGGTGTTGAAAGTAAGAAACCGGCCGTAATGATTTTGGAAGGAAATTTCGAGTCATAAGGAAATTTCAGCACACAGCATTAGGTGTGAAACGAGTACTCCAATTGTAGTTTAACATGGGAGTAGCGGAAAAAAATTATAGTTTAGAAAAAAGGATGGCTTATGATTCTTGTAGGAAAGTTAAGTGGACACATGTTTTCCTTGGCCAATTTTTAGCCCCGTCTTGTGATTAGAGATTCGAGGTAATCAAAAATCCATTAAATCTTTTCCCCACATCCTCCATCATCTATACTCACCACAATTCTTCTCGACCCATCTTCTTTGTCTCCTCTTTTCCCTTCTCTCTCACTCTTTGCTACCTTCTATTTCGCCCGCTCTTTCCTGTCATCTTTCTCTCTCTAATCCTCTTCCTTCTCAACGCTCGCTCATCGCCATTCGTAATTTCAGGCCACAAATATTTATTCTTTCGGCAATGCCGCAGGCAGTTAGAATTTGGGCTCGGAAAGGCCGCGGAAAAATTCGATTGTGAAGAAAACTGTTTAGAAATTTTTGGAAACAGGTTTCGTCATCATTCGGCGAGTCTTTTCAGGAAGTGTATATGGAGACGACATCGGAAAATATGACGTGCCTAAGGGGTTACTACAATATAATACATGGGAAATGTCTTAGAATTTAGTTCCAAATTTTTTTTTTATTTTCAGCAAAGAGCAAGGGTTCATTACATTTAAATTTCCAAAAACGTGTCAAATCTCTTTTTTCTTGGTTCAAACGACAAAATCACCCCAACAACAAACACCTACGTTAATGTCCAGCACACTATTCCCACGTTCTTTTTGTTATTTGCAATTCAAACAGCAAAAATTGTCAGCAAATGTCATGAGAAATGTAAGACAGAGATCAGGGAAATCGCATACAAAAGAGAAACTTTGACGTTTTAGATATGGAGTAATGGCATGAAGAATACTTTATTGTGCGCAGGGAATGTTGCCATAGACAGAAAAAGGTTTTTAGGCATCCCAAAAACAGATATTAGGCCTAAATCTGCCAAAATAGTCCTAAAGGTGTTTGATAATGTTTAGAAAATGCAAAACTTTTCCCTTTACGAGCATTTTATGCAACAAAGAATATATTTACATTCCAAAAAGTGCAGTGGATGGATAAGAGAGGGTCGAGAGCCCATAGAGCATAAATAAAATTCCCCCGTAAATCCTCGTAAAAATTATTTCAGAAATTGGTATTGTTGGCCAAGTATGGTTGTTGATAAAAACAAGTGAATTTGGAAAGCCCTGTTCAGAGATTATTTATGAATGATCATAAGGGAAATGCTTTAAAAAGTGTTGTAGAAGAAGGACAGTGGTCTTCCGACAACAATATTTAGACAAAATGTCAAAATACTCTGTGATTTTTGGCCCATTAGATACTTAGATTCTGATTTTTGGTTAGCAAAGTTCACTCTCGAATTCAACGAACGGCGCCAAAGAACTTTGCTCCCACGGAAATGCCTTTAGGCTGCGTAACAATGTCAAAAATTCCAAAATGGAAAACAAAGTCTGAGGCGCCAGACGTTGTTTTAAAATCATGCTGAGGGGGCAGCTGTCGACAATGAGCTTCTAATTTTTGGCGGGATTTGGGCCCAAGGAACGGCCCGATACAAGAATAAATCAAGTGTTGAAAATGCAGGACCGGCTGGTCTCGAAAGTTGAAAGAAAAGGGCAAGGATGGCTTTGTTGAGAAGCACGTAATTGTGGAGATTGGGGACGCTCATCAAAGAACGTTTGTAAATATTTTGAGGACTGCTGAGAAGCATTAAAGAGCGGTTGCAATAATTTTGCCTGACTAACCAGTCGTTAAGGCCGGCGAGAACAAAAAAACTCAAATCAAGGCTAAAATCATGATTTCCCAACCGGAGAAACCTTGTTCTACAACTTTGGACACCTTAAACTTCCCCAACCCGAGTAAAGACTTAAGAAATCAATGTTCTCTTAAAATCCCAGTCAACAATTTCCACATCCTGTGTCATTAACGCCCATTTTCCCGAAACTTACGCAAGAACTGTTCCACGTCCACATACTGTCCCACAGGGAGACCCATTTACATCCACTTTCGACCTATCCTAAACAGAAAAACAATAGGTCAGGAGCAATTTTTCCTCTTCTTTCGTAAATGCGCCTAGCTCCGCCAGAACTATGCCGTTCTTTCTCTTCCTCTTTCCCCGAATTTTTCAACCCCAAGGGTCCGCCCTGAGGGCTCATTTTTCCGCTCAATCCAAAGATCGCCACCTCTTCGGGAAAACTTACGTGGGTTCGGAGGAGATCTTTAAACAAATTTTTTCTCGACAGGTTCCCAATAGAATAGAAAGAGTTTTGGATTTTGATGACCTTAATCCTTTCCTCTTCTCTTGCACACTTCCAAAATGGGGAAACAATACCCTAAAGGGTGAATATAAAGGGTATCAAGCGGCATGGATAATCTGACAGCCTTGAAGATTCAAAGCCGAAACTTAAGGGATCTCGATTTAGAAATGTTAATTAAAAATGCTCTCAGGATATTTTTTGAGCCAAAAACCGTCCTTGTGGTTATTTGACTGCTCAAGCTAACAATATTTGACCGGTTAAATTTGCTAAAAGTGCTATGACTCCGAAGGCCAAGCAGTAATGCGTATTTTTAGAAATTGGCCCATCCGAATGTCAATTGGCTTCAAAAACCCTTTAAATTTGTTTAATTGTAAGTTCAGTTCATTTCAGCAGAGTATTTCACCCTAAACTCACCTAAATGTTCCAAAGAAGCGTTCTGTCCAGCTACCGCTGTGATCTCATCGATCGTCTCTTGACGTTGTTTGGTCGATAATCTCCGAGTTCGCAGACTTTGGGCTCTCTTCAGGACCTCCTCTTCCTGAGGCGATCGGATTCCCATGGACATCCAAAGGGATTCCCGACGATTTTCGGGCTTTTCATCTCTTCTAGTCGGCGGCTTCATCGTAGGTGGCTCGTCCGTCGATGAATTCTCATCGTCTCCCATAACTGACGACGGTTTTTGGAACCCGAAAGGTTCAGAATGAGGGATAAATTGGGGTGGCTTATTTTCCTGGAATTTTTTTTTGATGTTTTATGTTATTTTACAACGCAAAAATTATAATTCACGAGAAAAGAACGGAAGGATTTCAAAAAGAGGCTTTTCTTTTGTGTCGAGAGTTAAAAACTATTAAGAAGAGATATACGGTAATCAGACCTCAATTTTGGGTCTGAGTGGTCAAATAACCGGTCAATTCCAGAGCTCAAAACAAGAAATCCGGCTGTAATCATAAAAATAGAAAGATAAAAACTTGCTATAATACATTTTATCTTAATGATCTTGAATCTTAAGTTTTCTTAAGTTAACAATTAACAAATAATAGCAAGAACTAATTGCCAAACAAAAGAAAATTCACGGCTAATAAATAATGGAATAGAATAAACAAAGAATTTATGGCTTATTCAACGGACTAAGGAATTGTTTCAAACCTTGAGCAAACATTAAGTCAATGATTAATCTGGGTTCTAAAGGGTTTTCGAGGCATTGGTAAGCTGAAAAACGCAAACATTTAGTTTTAATAAGTTTGTAGGCCCTTGAAAGACTCAAAACTCTACTGTAAATCGTATTGTCTGACCCCACCGCCTTCCCCAACCTCTTCATCTGTCATAACTGCCCAGAATCATAGCCTAACCACCATTTTTCCAACCCATATTTATAGCATATATCCCAAGAATTCGGGGCAAAGAGGGAATTGCAATTCCCGAAAATGACAAGTCTGAAGAATGCGGGCCGAGACAAAACACGCGGCACTGCAAATTATTCGGTTCCCTCGGTTTTAAAATTCAAAACCCTCACCTTTTGGAGGAAGGCCGACTTCATTAGGCCCAGGCTTTTTTTAGTTCTTCTTCTTTTTCAGTCATGTTTGGCCGAAATTTCTCAATTAGAAAGAAAGTCATTTTAGGGTCTGAATTTTCAATTTGTCTAAAATTTGGGACTTCAGGTGGCCAAGGAGACGAAAAATGAGATCTCTGAAATCTCAGGGACATAAGGTGGGGCTTTCACATGTTTTCCGGACGATTGGAGAAAGACCTGTCGCAAAAATATACAAAAACTACGTGTCAGCAGACTCCGAGAACTTCCTCAAAACAGCAAAAAAACAATGGCCTAAGGCACGTCCCTCCTATTAGTTTGACGAATTCCAGACAGGTTGACAAATATCGGAAATAATTTTATTTTTATTGAGAAAGCAGCAATTTCTGTGGACAAATGTAAACTGCGAAAATTGTATGTTACAACAAGACCTAGACTTGTTGTTTCGTGCGTAATTGTAGAATGGCGAGAGAATTAATTGTAAATAGTTTTAACATATGTACGGGAGGCAGAAATATATTGTCTTTTTCAAGGCGATGACTTTAGGTAAACCAAGAAGAAAATTGATCAAAAAATCAATTTTTGTTCCATTTTTTAGTATCTTTTTCTATGCCCTCAATTATGACTCAAAAACAGTCAAAAATTGACCAAACAAGTCAATCCCCTCTAAGGAAATCTCCATTTCTCATGAGAAAAAAACTAGAAGCGAAATCCCGGCGAACAACAAATCGCGACCGTCGAAACGTTGGAACACTGGCCTCAAGAACGCTGACTAATTGCACACCCGCCCACAAAAACAAGATATATTTATCAGGAGGAGGACGAAACGCTTTAGAGAAAGCAGCCAAATCCAATAAGACTTTTCGTCTTGAAGGCATTCGAAGGCACGGCCGCTCCCATCCTCGGCCCCCGGTCATTCTTCTTCGAGACAACTCACTTACAGCGGGCGCCGTTTTCCCATGTGTGGGGTTAGAAGTTAAGCGAGGCGACTAGTTTTGACGAAACTTAATTTTCAGCAGTAGATCTTGAATAGTCAGAAAGTCTAGCCGTTTTACAGCTTCTTTCACTATGAACCCTTCAAAATTCGCCTTAAAAATTAGCAGGTGACATTTAGCCGCTGCCAAGTAAAACCCCAGCTTCGAAACATTTCCCGAGATCCCGAAAACACATGGAAATTATAATCGAAGGCCCCGAAAGTGAATGTTAAAACCTCGGAAAAGACGTTCCGAGATTTATGGGTTCCGGCGGGACGATGGAGAACGGCCTATCACATCCAAAAGTGCCAAATGTTTTTTTTGCCAGGGACCTGAGGGTTTTAAAATTTTCGAAAAAATATAAAGAGTTGTGCAGGGGACGGGAAAAAGTGGGGTTATATCATTGGGGAGTAACTGAGGAAGTGCGTAGGAAACCGGGAATATATTATCTACGTATTACATACATTTGATGAGTGTTGAATAAATAGATTGTTCCGCACATACATTTTCAGCCAATTGCCGGACCAAAAACAAACCAGAATCCTAAATTTTTGCTTTCCAAAGCCATCTACTCAAAAATTATTTACCTCAAGGCAAAAACAAAGAACAAATGAGAAGGTGGCCGACGTGAGGATGCCACCCCTCCTCCTCCTTCTCAAGACCCACAATAAACAAAAAAGTGAAAGTTGATCGGATCACTTCAACTTGCGCCACTTGATTGCATCATCCCACTTGAACACGGCCCGCGGGTTGAAAGGCGAAAGACAATCGACAATGAGGGATCAGCATGAACTTCCAAAGATTCGCGAGGCCGTTTTAAGACACAAACATAAAGAAAGAATGTCCGCGGAATATCAAAAGCCATGTCGACGGCGCTTCGAATCCCCTTGAGGGCATTTCTAGTCAATAAATTTTATGGGGACGTGGGGCGTAATAAAAATTGTGGGTCAGGTGGAATGTGGGGACATAAAGAGTAAAGAGGCTCCGAAGCTGGACGGTTACGGCGGTAATCATCGGCCCAGAAGATGGCCAAGACAACAGCAGTTTTTCATAACATACATTGATCTATAAATAAGTAAAGAAAACGTTGAATTCGATTATTAGAGAGCGAAAATAAATTGTACATAGTATAAAAAGTGTGTCCAAACGTCCAAAATGATCAAGTATTCAGTATTCGGCACATGTCTATTACAACTGTATGGAAATACAGCCATAAACAAGCCGTTTCCCGCAAAGATTTATTTGTTTTCGGAGTGAGATGAAGGCAGTCAAGTGCATACAGCCCCATTATAATAAGTGGTAATTCTAGATGCACGCATGTTATGTCAGATCTACAATTACGCACTCTATGTTGGGATCGTTTTTTGCGTCAAGATGTAAAAAACTAAACAATCTACATATAATAGTTTTTAAGCCATCAAAACAGTAAATAAGTTAGTAAACACCCGTTGAGAGGCGGCTAATAAGTTCAGTCTTAGGGGTTCGGAAAATAAATCGCTGAAAGAACGAGGCCAAAACGACCTAACAGCCAGACGCTGGACGAGATGTCGCAAGCCAGGGGGTTTAAAAATAATAAATATCAGATCTTGACAGGTCTTTGGCGAAACGTCAATGCAAAAAAAACGTCATTTCCTTGGACTTTGCAATGATGAGAACAACTTTAATCCCAGAACGACGTCTAGTCTGATTCGAAGATGTTGGTTTCGGCGTTCGGAGGATGTCGTCATTCGTGATTCTATGTATTCCAATTACAAGAATCTTCATCTTTTGGGTTTTTCTTTTCTTTGATTATTATAAACCAGCTCATATGTATGAATTACAATCCCAAAAAACCGAGCCAATTGTCTCTTCCAAAATACAATGAATTTCCCACGAATATTCTCACCAAATGACCTACAATTCATTATTCTAAACTCATAAGTCATTACTTATTGCAAGAAAATATATAAAAAGATTTAGCCAAAGAGCTGGCCAAAAAGTTTGGCCAATTCTTTGGCCATGCCATGCATTTAACAATGGATAACTTTTGATCCATCAAGAAGAGAAATGTGACGTTCTATCCAGTTGGAAATGTGTTGAAAAAATCTCGTCCCCAACCTCCTGTTCGAGCTTAAATTTAGACAAGTGTTGAAAATTGGTCGGCCGCTAAATTGGTCCGGAAAACCGAGTTCCCCCGGAGGCGTCTTTCCCCTCTCTGGAGGCCCAAAACAGGTGGGGTTTTAATGGTGCCAGAACTGCGGGAACTTCGAATTTGGACCCAAGATTTAGGCCTGATCTACATCGACGATGACAAAAATTTTATGAGCACTTAAAAGACGATTTCTGAGTCAGTGAATCAGCCGCCAGTTAGGCGTGGACATAGGAAAAAATCGAATTTGAGTTTTTTGCATCAAAATGACTGTTGGTAGGTGCTAAACAAAAGCGAACAATATCTTTTCCTAAAACTTTCAACAAGGTACCATTTTTTACTATTTACTGTTTTTGGAGTAATTGGCTACAGCTGTCGTATCTTACCTTGAAATGCAATAATTTTGCGGCCTACAACGTTTTCGACCCTTGCGAAGACGCTGGACGAATTATTTTTGATCTCTTCCTACTGTAACATACCGTAATACCGTATCGGCCGCTAAAAAACGGCCGTAAAATCTTTGTTTCTGAAAACCCACAGCTGATTTTTTGATATGTTAATCAGCGTAAAATTCTGCTCTAGACGCAGTCAAAAAAAGTTCAAAAAAGTGAATGACAAATTTCGTGGTATAGTGGTTAGTGGTCGGGACTACCAATCCAGCCTGCCAGGTTCGATTCCGGGTGGGTGCAAATCTCGAAAAAATACTAGAAATCGACTTTAATGGAACAATCAAAGCTATTTGAGTGATACTATGTGGTTTTGGACAATAACGGCACCTGTATGTGAGCCTAAAACGGACTTTTTAAAATTTTTTAGGCTTAATACGTGAAAAATAAAACGGCTTCAAACCGGTTGAAATTGATAGCACTTACTCTAGGGCTTATTAGAAGACACTTTCCCGTTAACTTTTTTTCGGATCTTACTGTATTGTGGATTACTGTGACATAAAACTTATTCCCCTAAACCGCGGTTTACTTCAGAATTCTCGCACAAAATTCTTAGTTGTTTAGTTAGATATTTTAATAATAAAAGAAAGATCCACTCTTGATGTATAAATTAAAATTTCCCCTCGTCTTCAATGTGTGTTGACGTTATCAACAACTGGTGAAACTGCGTGAGATTACTCAGGTGTTTCAAGTCGTACCGCCATATAAAAAATATTTCTACGCAAACCAAGCCTTTCTTAATCATTTTAAGCGTAATGGTGGGGATACGAGCTCTCTGCGCTATGTGGTATACAAAAAATGGAAACGTGTTTCATGTTACAGTAATCCACGATACAGTAAGATCCCAAAAAAAGTTAACGGGAAAGTGTCTTATAGTCAGCCCTAGAGTAAGTGGTATCAATTTCAGCCGGTTTGAAGCCGTTTTATTTTTCACGTATTAAGCCTCAAAAATTTTAATAAGTCCGTTTTAGGCTCACATACAGGTGCCGTTATTGTCCAAAATCACTTAGTATCACTCAAATAGCTTTGATTGTTCCATTAAAGTCGATTTCTAGTATTTTTTCGAGATTTGCACCCACCCGGAATCGAACCTGGCAGGCTGGATTGGTAGTCCCGACCACTAACCACTATACCACGAAATTTGTCATTCACTTTTTTGAACTTTTTTTGATTGCGTCTAGAGCAGAATTTTATGCTGATTAACATATCAAAAAATCAGCTGTGGGTTTTCAGAAACAAAGATTTTACGCCCGTTTTTTAGCGGCCGATACGGTATTACGGTATGTTACAGTAGGAAAATCGGAAAAATAATGATTCCATCGTCACCGCAAGGGTCAAAAACTTCAGTAACCATCAAATCATCGCACAGTAAGGTAAGATACGACAGCTGGAGGCGATTACTTCTAAAACAGTAAATTGTAAAAAATATACCTTGATGAAGGTTTTGGGAAAAAATATTGTTCGCTTTTGCTTAGCACCTTCCAACAGTCCTTTTAATGCAAAAAACTCAAAATCGATTTTTTCCTATGTCCACGGCTGACGCACTGACTCAGAAATCGTCTTTTAATAGATTTAATAAAAGCTTATTACAATATAAAATTTGCAATTATTTGAGATAAACACTTATTAATTATTGGACAGTAAAATTAACCCGTTAGAGAAGTAACGTCTGACTAGAAACAATGACTGAGATAAAGGCGACAAAAAATGTTGCCCGAATTTGAAAAAAAAAGAATATGGCAAGACAAAAAGGCCAAACCAAACAAAAGTTTGAGAGAGAAAAGTTCTTGAGGTATGAGATTGAAATTTTGAATTTATGGGACCAACATAAAATGAAATTCGGATGGCAAAGTCGAACAATGTAGTTGCCATTATTCGACATTGTTTTTAAACTCCTGGAAGTCCCGAACGATCGCGTTCTCCGCCAACTTCCTCATCACAGTCCAATAAAGGACGTTGAAGATGATGAAGGTCAATGGGAAGACAGCTCTCGAGCATCGATCTATTTTCGCCGGAGAACATTGTACTTGGCACTTGATGGACCGTTTCCTCCGCATTTTCGGGAAAGGAATTGTTTGATGGAAAGTGTTATCGTTGGTCATTTGAGCATATTGAACGAGAGGGATTGCGCTGAAAATTCTAGGTAAAATACGGCACAAGAGATAAAGTTTTTAGTCCCATCACAAAAACTTTTAATGCCAAATCAATATTGGCATTCCGAAATAACTCAAGAAACATGTCGAAAAACAGAAATCCGATCAACTTACCGACAGTCGCAATCTGGAGGAACACTCGGCAATCCAGGCGGTCGATAGACATAGCTTTGGTTCGGGGAAACAGCCAATCCACCAGCTGGAGTTGTCGGGTAATTCGTAAACATTGGCATTTCCGTTGGCTCGTTGTTCTGAGCTCGCGCTTTTCGTTGTTGTCTTCTCCGAGATTGTCGTTTATTCCAATAGGAAACCACCGCATATTCTACAAGCGACGCGAACACCATGATGAAACAAAAGTTGAGGAAAACGTCGAGCCCCTGAAATCATGGATAATATAAGTTTAGCTTGGTTTTCAATGCTTTTTCAATCTAGATGTTTTTCTCACCTTGATATAGGACACTTTGGGCATGGAATTGTTGGTAGTTGTGATCAAAGTGGTCATTGTCAACACAGTGGTTACACCCAGACCAACCCGAGCTGGCGAGGCTTCTCGATTCAACCAAAAAGATACCCATGATATGCTCACAATCAGCATTGAGGGAATGATTATGTTCATCAGATAGAAACCCAGGTTTCGGGATAGGATCATTTGGACGTAGAGACGGACATAACGACCTGAAATTAAACATTGTTATGTTAACTTAGGTTGGTTCAAATTTTAAATTACTCCTAAATGTCGTTCATTCCTTACCCGATGAAGTTACAGCCTCCGTAACGTTGACTCGATATCCTGTTCTGTAGAACTGAGGTAATCCGAACGAATCAAAAGCGACCGCCTTTATGGCGGGCTCTTCTCCCTTGATCTTTCCCCAATGTAACTCAATATCCGCTGTTGTGTAACCGTAGCTCTCGATCTCTAATTTGCACTCTTGTGTGTCCATAGGGAACAGCTTCAGCTGCATTGGACATGTGGCAGTGACTGTTAACCGTTGACTCAACAGAACTCGGCCATCCGGATCAATTCGGAGGAAAGAATTGTGAGAAGTGGAGGTGTGGAAGAAAGACTTCTTTTCGTTGGGGAAAAATGTGTCCGGCTTCCATAATCGGTCTAGGTATTCGACACCCACAGTTAGTGATTTGATCTTCTGAAAGCCCAGGTCCAATTTTCCAAAGGCTAAGCGAGGATCTTGCCAGGTTTGTCTAGAATAGGTGTATTAGATGGGATTGATGCACAGTTTGGGGCTGATTTTGTTTTTGTGGTTGTTTTGGCCAGTTTGGAAATAGGTAGTTTTTGGACTCACCAATAAGTAACTCAGATTTCTGACCGTAGTGCCATTGTTTGCCAAGGCAACCACAGTTCTTTGCTAGTGATGGAAACATTTATCTGTCAGTCCAAACCCTACCCTAACTCTTTAAAACTGGATAAGCCATGGTAATTTAACATGTCCAAAATAAAAGGCAGTCCATGAAATAGTGGTACTTACCGAAGATAAAAATCGATGGTAAAGTCCATGTCGACTTCAGAGACTGCACTGATCGAAGAGACGTGAAGTGTGATGCCAACCATGACTGGACCTCCACCATAAGTCGGCCTCAAGCGCTTATCATATTTAGATTTGTCTACCAACCGGTTTAGAACCTAAAATTTGGCAACATTACTTTCTACAGTATTCGTAAAGCTATTTTCTGTAAAATACGCCGTTGCTTGTTTCCATAATTTGTAAGGTTAGTCCGAATACTTACTTGTGATATGTAAGTAGTATTTGGAGTTTCATCATCGGCCAAAAACGGGTTTGAGATTTGTTGAGCACACCCATAATTTAACGTAAATCCGACTATTAACAAGCACGTTAACAGGCGGTAAAACCGGATAGATCTGGGGAATCCCATTACATTCCACATGGAAAACTTGAGGTAAACAATCTCATCGTCTTCGTCGTCAGTTTCACTGTCGTAAAAATCCTCTTCTGGATGTTCTTCGGGAACTCGTTGAGGGAGTTTCGATCGCCGGATGATCTTCGAGGAAGAGTTTTTAGTTTTAGATGTTGTTGTGGACATGTTAGCGCGTATAATGTCGCAATTACACTCCTCACACCCGTTTTGCTGGTCCGGTTCCTTCGACCGTTTCATCCTCGAACCGGTCGCCAGGTGAAACACGATGTAAGAACCGTATTGTTGTCGTTGTGTTGCGCCGTTTTGCACTGAAAATATACGAGTGAGTACGACAGAATTAGTATTCTTGAATGCACGAATTCGCGGGGATTACGGGTTTGTTATAATTAACGTTGTTGGTGGTAGGCAAACATGGACATCATAGCTTCGAGCTAATGCTATGGATATAGGACCACTGAGGAGAAAAATTGGGAATGCCATCAAAAGCGATAAATTAGGTATTAAAACGCGCGTCTTAGAAATAGGCAAAACTAAATGTATCCAAAAACAAAAAAAATACTTTGGGGTTTCCTACAAGCTTCAAATTAATTCTCAAAAGAAATATTTTGGAATCCCAGCAAGAAGCCCTCCCAATTCTCGTATTGTCTGCAATATCAACTCCAAATATAACAATAGAACAAAAAATCTTTTTCTTTTTGAATCCCCGAAACATCATAAAATGACATAACTTGAAACAAGTACCCAAAAATAAAAAGCGAATGGTCGCCGAACTGTCGCCACAGCCCCTCGGGGCCGGGAAAGCCGGCTAGCGGAAAATTTATTATCCTGAAATTCCCCAAACGACGTCGTTGACAAGATGTGTCAAATCATTCAGCTCGGCGCATCCTAGAGCGAATTAATTTGCGTTCCGGTTTGGACGTTTTTTGAAAAATTTTATAAAATTTTTGATGGAATTCCACGGATATGTGGGTTTGAATTCTGGGGAGGGGGTCCCTTGGGGAGATCATAGAAGGAGTTTAAGAAAGGGGGAAGTAAAGACAAAATTAAGATAATTGAACGTCTTGAACAGGTATTAAAATTACTAGCTGTTGGTAGCGAATTTGTAAACTATAGCCTGTAAAAGGGTGACAAAAAATTAATTGTCTAGGACGTAAATAGAAATGGACATTTGCAAAAGTAATTGCACAGTAGAAAGTATAGCCTAAGAGGTGAAAAACAGAAATTAGCGCTCTCAATATTACATCTAAAGTAATCTAGATGTAAGAAAAAAATCCCCATAAAGTTCAAAATTCAAATCCCCGAATTCGGCGAACATGACTATCCCCAACAACTTAATCCAATGAACATGGGAACCACTTCAGATGGAGATGTTTACGCATGAAACTCGACAAGTTTACAAGAACTTTTTAGCTTCTTAAAACATTTCATTTCCCTATCAAATCAGGGATAAATCTGCGTCATCAAATTTGAAAGGGGGTTCAGTAAAATTATGAGTGGGGAAAAATAAAAAAAAGTTGTAAAATACGATGAAGCCAAAAGTATTTTGCATTGATTCTTGGGAGTGTAAGAGAGTATTGAGAGGAAAAGAGCAAGGCAAGAAAGACAACTACACAACAGAAAATTATTGAAAAATTATTAAAGGTCAAATTTGTTTCCTCTCGAATCTAATGTCACTTTCTAGTCCCTTGCAGAGTCATTGTAATAGATGTAAATCAAATTCAACGTGATTACAAACAATCATAAATAAAACGAAGCCAAACGAAATCCAAGTCCGAGCAAATTACTATGGAAATTGATGGCTCAAAACATAAAGCATAATTAATGGAGCATTTTATGTTGGGCCTGATGAGATCATACGAAAAAATATAGTACAACTGGTATACTTTGAACTTGGTAAAAAAACGGCTTGTTCAATGAAGTATCCAAATTTTGAAAATGAAGTTTGAAAAATCGCAAGATGTAAAGTGTAATACAGTTCCGTAAACTGATTAAAAACCGCGTCCCAATGGAATATTCCGTCAAACAGTTTGGTAAAACGCGGCCAACACAAAAACACCTAACAAAAAAGCGCTCCTGCTGACAGTATATCCTTTATCTAATCCCTTGTTGCCCAAGTCCACTTCTATGACTCTAGTGCAATATAAAGCGCTTCCCAGAACCATATTAAGTATGTTGCCAACTTCCTTTTGACCTCTGAACGTTGGCATTGGATTTAGGGACTTGTTTGAGTTCTGGAAAGAAAGGGGTTTTATTGGGTTTAGTATAAATTTATCAACGCGCACAAAAGAATTTATAAATCTGCGCGGATAACATGATTTATGGGATTATACTCGAATTTTGAGAGGGCAAAAGGTGAAGATTTGCCCTAAAAAACGGGATTTTAGGGCTAAAAATTGATTAGATATTATTTTAGAGGGTCTACCAAAATATTGTTGGAAATCATAATTGTGATATCTCAACTACACCTCGAGAATTTTTAGCTGAAACCAAGCCACCTAAACTCTCTGTGAATGCAGCTAATGATCGATCAGACCCTCTAAACCCTCTTCTGATCCATGGCCCCAACGCCTGACTATACATCCGGCGTATTATCAGCACGTTGAAATCCAATACTTTTTTCGAAAACTTATTTTCCCGACAAAAAGAAAGTGATTTCCCCGGAGGCATCGGGGCCGCGTTGTCATCCACACTTCGCACTTATTTAATATTCCCTTTTTCTGATCCAATAGAAGTGAAATGCAAGCCCGGAGCAAGAATTCGAGATGATAATGAAGTTGCGAAATTGAGGGAAAGCTGGTGGATGTTAAAAGATGTAACTGTGAGGGCTACACACTTTGAAACTCGAGTTTTTCCATGCAATATTTCATTTAAAAAGTAAAGTCATCAAAATTGGGCACTCAGCGTCATGGTGAATATAACGTGGCCCATACTTGGACCCGCACGCCCCCTTCAGTCCCAATAAATCAGAAACCTGTCGGCCGCGTTGCCAACATGGCCCAGTCACGCTCCAAGCGCGTGGCAAATGAGCAAACGATTTTTAAACGCCTTCTCCAACAAACACGGTTTCCCATCCAATTCAGCGTGAAGACTTCTGGAATAAAGACCACGGGCACGCACCGCATAAAATATTTTTTGTTCTAGATTGGTGAGAATTCGGTTATTGGGTCTTCCTCAAGGGCCGCGGCCAAGACTTTTCGGCCGCAATCTTCAAATAATCGAGGGAAAAGAAACGTTTCATAAAATACGAAGGGGTTTCTTTGCAGAAAACATCATAACACATTGTGGGAGTTGAAAAAGCTAAGAAACGGTAAGATGGGATACAGTAATAAGCGATACATATAAAAAAAAGATGAAAAAACAGCCAATATTTAAGACGTGTTAACTTTAAAGAAGATTTCTTGTATATTTATGATACTGTCGAAGAATCTACTTCCTCGGTCTAGACCTTCATTATCTTCTTTGCAAGAAATCTAATCCAAAGTAACGTCAAATCCCCCATTTTTGCATTATTTTTAGGCCCCAAACAAAAAACTTATGCGAGCCCCAAAAGTCAAAGGTCCCGCTCACATCTGTCGGCCCTCGAAAAACAACCACAACTCCGTGATCGGCCACGGGCGGGTAATTCGTTGGGCAATCTAGTACAGTATCATCAAAAAAATCTTCTGAAAAATAACCCAAGGTTGTATTAGTGGTCAAATTCAGCTCTTAGCCCAAATCCAAGGCTCGTTTCAAAAGCCCTGCGGCCATTAGCCAGGATCAACCCCATTAAAAAATAAAAAGCACTAATCAAAGTAAATTGAGAGCCGTAAATGAGGGAAAGCGGCAATTAAAGACAATTCGTTCGACTTTTATATCGGACATAAGGTAAATATTGCTGAAAGTTGTCATCGTAAGATGATTAGCCCACTACTGGGTACTCGGAGCCATTCATGAAGTGACGTTATAATAAATATAAGAGGAAGGTTATGGATGTCGGAATGAATAGATGAGTAAATTGAAAGCCGTTCTTTCGGTTATTTCATATTTTTATAGTGAGAAATGATTAGTGATGACGAAAAAGTATACGTTGAAGATTTCAAAAATAATATCGGCAAAATACTAATGATTCAAAATTTATTCGAAAACACACGCCGCCGCACAGTGCAATGTCAGACTTTTCTCAAAAATGACGTCCGAGACATAATCAGTAAACAGTAACTTAACTCCTACCGTCACAAGCACTTCAGTAGCTCGGAAATCGTGCCATTTGAGCTGGCTGTTTACCCGTTGTGTTGTAGGTCGGAAAAAATTCGAATAACTTTTCCCAAATCCCTCCGCGAAAAAAATTATTGCCCTTTTCGGGTTTTTGAGGACTCAATAAGTTGTGCTCTTCTTCAGAACACCACCACGCTCCACTACTTTCCCCCTCAGGCGTCGAAACATCTCCGAATCTGTGGACCTGGCGGGTTCAAAGACAATGGCCGAGGAAGAATGCCTGCATGGTTTTGGGAAATTGGGCAGAAAGATGCGGGGATTGGGGACCTGGCGACATGGGATAGGCCAGGATACTGAGAAGGTTGTGGACGGCAAAATCAAAAAAGATCAAAAAATATTTTGAGGCAAGGAAGTTCGTTATCCGCTGAACTTTTGTAAAGGACTGCGACTACTGTAACCCAGCAAAAAGTCAAAATTCAGAGCCGGCAACATGTCAGACGACTTGGACTTGAATTACGGTTTGAATCACCTACAATCCGCTCTAAAAACTCTCTTTAAATACATCTCTCTGCAGAGTATTTAATCCCCAATTCAAACCGAATAACCGTAGTTTATATTTAAACCGTTAGTGTAATCTCAAGTTACAGTCTCCAAATTTAGCGGCTTTACTTAAGCCTCTCAAGAGTATATCGTTACATCTAACCTCAAAATGTCCTTCGGGGACAGAACGTCATTTGTAGCTCAGCGGGCTCTTGTTTCAGGAAAGATAAGAGAAGTTAAAGGCTGCAACAATCGGAGGAAAGATGATCTTGAGAATGGAGTTCGGACTTTTGGAGATGAATTTCAAAGAATAGAGTGTGATGAGATTTATGACAGTATATCTTACACATTTATTTCTTTATCCCGAAATTTGCCATACGATAAGTCGGCAAAAGCCCTAAAAATACGACATACGCAACCCTCCAAAATCACCGCAAACACAGCAGCCTAATCCATGAGAAGAGGTGACATCACGCACTCGACGATTCCATCAAGAAAGAGCG